CCTCAAAAAGGAAGTTGCCGCCATGCGAGGCGCTCTCTTGATGTTATTGTCAGGGAATAGTTTGTCGTCTGCCGCAGATAGCAGGCTGAGATTATTTTCCCGTCTGCGCTACAGATTGCCTGGTGGAGAACTTGACATTCAATTAGTTAGCTCTTGTGATGAGCGGTGCTGTCGCTGTCGCTGTAGAGCCTGTCCAGAAAGGCTTTTAACGAATTGATTAAAAGTCAAGTGGAGGCTCGGAGCTCGTGTGGAACCTCTTTACTTTGCGGCAGCCGACACTTCAGTGAGCGACCCTTTGGTTTGAAGAGTTCCAGCGTGCTTTGCTCTTCATCATGTGCGCGTAGATGTGCTCGCCTGGCTGCAGTGGACGCTCTGCCTCAGGGAGGTCAAAGGGCAAATGTGCAGGGCTTGAAGTAGACAGTTGGCTCCAGTGTGTTTGAAGCATACGGAGGCCTTTTCCCATTAATTCTTCTCTTTAAGGTTAAGATGTCATTTGTGATCATCAACACAACCGTGCACATATGACTAACATCCAATTTCCAAAGTGATAGACCACGTGAAAATCCAATGAAACAGGACACGAAAACCTTGCCGTTAATAAACACCGCATCTCCTCCATTATTCACGGCAAAATTGGGACGAAGGAATGCTGGCTCATGTGCCACCATTGCTTCAAGAATAAGAGTTCGTCCAACAAAACAGTCGGCGTGCTGATTGTAGAGATTTGCCAGAAATGTGGAGGCGCAGTGCTGCAGCGAAGGCAATGAGTGGAGCCAGAATTGGTTGTTTTTGCCGGCACATCAGATAAATTGCTCGAGGAATAAACACCAACAGACATTGTTAAAGTTGGGGGAGCGGGAGCGGCGCTCCGTGACAGCGGCTGACGAAGCTCCGAGTTCAACTCGTGGGCGAGCAAACTTTTTATTTTGATTCGGCAAAATTCATCTGGTTTCCATTTTATACTGACTAAAGAGAGAGAGTGCCCCCGACTGGAAACAGAAGAGGGGGGGGGCCACTGTGGTTTGGAAAATGTGTTTTTGTTTGTGTGTGTGTGTGTGTGTGTGTGTGTGTGTGTGTGTGTGTGTGTGTGAGAGAGAGTGAGAGAGTGAGAGGAACAAGAAGGGGGAGGTTAATTCATGTGATTCCTTCATGCCACTGTGGCAGAGGAGGCTGTATGTATTGTCGGGCGCGTTGCCATGGCAACAGCTGCGGCGTAAGGAAATCGTTCTTTCCTCCTTCTCACCCCCCCTTCCGCCTCTTCTTCTTCTTCTTCTCTCTGTCTGTCCAGTACCATGTCAGAGTTCTTTCCCTCCCTCCCTCCCTCTCTTCCTCTCTCTCGCTCTCTGACTTGTACAGACATGGTTTGCGGAGTTTTGGGTGGGGAATGCTCAGGTATGCGTTCACACACACACACACACACACACACACACATACACACATACGCACACACACAATCTGTCTGTGTGCTGCTGGTGTTGCAGACTGTGGAACAATGAGTCTCAAGAAGAGACTTTCCTTCAAGAGGACTTGGAACTTCAACACTGTAAGTAAACTGTGGTTTGCCCAGCGAGCCTCCTCTTCCTCCTCCGTACGAAGAGACTCCTTTTGTTCAGTCAGCTGCTTTTCTCATTAATCTCCCTCGTTGTTGCTCGCCTCTCTACCACTCAGAACAGCTGTCTGAAGCGGTGGGGACTCGCGGTTGTTTGTTTGCGGGATGCTAGAATCAGCCTTGACTTGTGTAAAAGTTTAGAAGAGGCTTTTTGTTTTTTTTATCTGACTGTGGAGTGTGGAGCAAGGTACATCTCAACCCAGTTTGTGAGGGAAGGAACATGCTGAAACAAGCCCAAAAGGTAATAGAAATCCCTTTTTAAAAGATCAGAAATAGTGTTAATGGGGGACATTTGTGTAAATGTGGCCTATCCTTGATTTAACACCGGTGAAAGTGTGCTTGTGTCGCGGGTGGCTCACTTCAGAGATCACACATGAATCTGTCTTGGAGGGATCATCTACGTTCCTTCAGCATGTGGCGTCCCGGGATGCCAGACTGTGTGGCGTGGGGGCCGTACCTCAGTAAAGCTGGGAGAGTATTTTCCAACCGGAGAGCCAGAGCCAGATCCGGCTCCGTCGCTGTGACTTGAATTGGTTTGTCCATTTGGTTGATAACAACCTAACGTGGACCGCTTTCAGGAGGGGACTCCAGCGGTGAAATGGGATCTCTGCGGGTCTGTCGCACCGCAGAGCCACCCATGGTGGACCAGCTCGTCACCAGAGGCGTCAACAGAGGAAGGTGGACGAGAGGTGACGGTGTGCCTCATTGCAGGGGATTCGTGGGCAAAGGAAGTAATAACGAGTGGTGTGTGTGTGTGGTCTCACCGCTGCAGCCTCCTACACACAAACACCAGCCACGGTGCATTTGACAGCCCGACCTGGTCGACTTTTAAAAGTGTGATGCTTCACCATTATGTCCTTGATTAAGTAATTGATTAGTTGATCTAACAGCAATGTGTTTATCATTTAGGTTGTTTATCAAGCAAAACAGCCAAATATTTCCAGATTTTCAGTTTTCTACTTTTGGAAACTGAATGTTTTTGGGGTTTTTGACCATTGGGAACATGCATTCTGTCATTTTATTGTTTATCTATTATTTGAAAAAATAAATAAATAAATCATGAGCAAATGAATCAACAATTGAAATAATCATTTTTGAACTAAATCTAAAACAATGATGTGTAATCTAACAAACTGTGTGGCGTTATTGCCAAAAGCTTCTATCGTGGTATTTCTATATCACAGTAACTGTCAATTCAATCAACTGCCACACATGTTAAAAACAATAGATTCAAAACAATCAAACTAAAATCCGGCCAAAATGGAGTACGGCTTTAAGAGAACAATAACTTCATAACAATGACTTCAAGTGTTACAATAGAAAAACAACTTTTCCTGCATTATGTGACTGACAGACATTTGAACCGTTCGTCCTCATCTGGAAACCGCCTCCTTCACTTTCTCCATGTCTGCCCCAATCGTGTTACCGGTTTAAGGCATTTGGATTCGCAACATCACACGAAAAAATCCCCTGATCACGCGAGAATCACCACAGCGGTGGAACTGGTGTTGCCAAATCTTTACCAGTGGACTCATTTTTAGCGGTATGACAACCCTATGTCACAGACTGGTTACAGGATTCTGCAACATTTCCATTCATTTAGACGCCTCTCAGCCTGCACACCAAACCTATACATTCATATTTGTCATCGACATATTTCTCCTCTGACACGAAGCATGCTTTAAACGATGAGATATTGCATAAACCCAGAGGCTATTCATGATGATTAAACTCTCCCACTCATATTACATGTCTGTGAATAAGAGGAAGTGGATATCTATCATATTCGTCACCATAGAAGTCAAATTTTTTCCAAAGAATGGAGAGCAGGAAATACACCAAATCATAATATTCCACCTGGAGACCTTTTTGTTCAAAACCAAAGTTTATGTCACGTCGTGTGATGTCTGTCTGGTTCTTTTCAAATGAACCACGGCTCAATCTATGTATTTAAGGTTTGAGGTCTCGCTGTTTTTAGACCCAAAAGGGACGGACAGATGGAGTGGGTGTTCTCTCTGTTCTGTTTGGGCTTCATGTTGGTCCACCATGATTACTGTACACATGCTAGCCACCACAGAAGGGATGGGGGGGCTGGCTTTTGGTTGTTGACTATAGCGAGGTTGGACTCAGCAGCAGCAGAGTTGTAAAGAGGCTGTGACAGACAATTAGTGGTCTGTGTCTGATAGAGCTTTTACATGTGGTCGCTCCCAAAAATGGAACAGAGCGTCACGTCGGGACGCATGACCGTGGTTGCGTTCCCCCGGCCTTCAGACGACCAGTAGCCTCAACGAATATGTCCGAGCTTGTTCTTCTGGTGGATTGATTGAGCTGAAAGCAAACCAATCACATTCACTTTAGTTCATTTCCATTGTCCTGTTTTATTGCAGCTTTTTACAGTCCAGTATTATGCAACTCCACTAAAGTACAAACTGTATGTACTGCTCACACCGAGGCACCAGCCTGGCAATGGGAGCCTTGTTTAGACGTATTATCAGCCTCGGATATGTTCACACTTTGAAGTGGCAGCTCAGAAGACACTCTTCTGGAAATAGTCTCCCCTTTTCAGATGAATCCTCCAACGCGCCGTTTTTTTTTTTTGTTTGTTTTGTTCTCGTGTTCTTGGACCAAACCCGAAGATGCGCCTCTCATATCCTCCCCTGCATTTAAATATATTTGCGACAGCAGCTACACAGTTTGGGCTTTTAAATCTCTCTTCATCAGCCTAACCGAAATGGGTTTTTAGAGAAGCCCCGAGGCAGTGATTTCAAACTGAAACGTTGCCACGTGAATATTTGTTGATCCGTCTCAAGATCAGACCAGAGCGGTGTTTTGATTCAGCGTTATTTCTTGGCTATAATCACACCCAATTATGGAAAGTTGTCACCGTTAAATTGTCATGCCCACAAGGGAGGGACTTGTGCTGTTTGGCTTTTATTCATGGCGGTCGACACATGCACGACCTCCTCACTGCTGGGATTAGCAAGTGAAAGAAGGGCCATTATGGCCAGCGTCGGCCTCTCAAGGAGCTCTGCCTTGATGAGCTCTGGTCTTTGTGACTGCAGTTAGCAGGAATGCACACATTCAGGGGCTGTGTTTGTGTGCGTGAGGATAGTATAAAATGAAGGGTGGGTCCTGGTGTGGAGGTGTGAACAGCTGTGTGTGGTAGAGGCCTGGGGTCCACCCACTTACAAATTAATGGTCTTGTGTAAGGATCCAACCCTTTCCCAGTAGCACACCCTCTCACACACACTCTCACTTAGAAACCACAAGGACACACACCTCAGAGCGACTGGTGGGATGCCTGCTATCACGGCTATCTTCAGCTTCTTGTCTCAGCACAGGAGGTCATGAGGGCAGCCTCTCACTCATGTCTCTTTTTGTTCTCTTTCAGTCGGCTGCTTCCTCAGATGGCGGTGAGTACAATTACCTTTTGTTACTACTACTTTAAAACACTCTTATGGAAGAATCTAAACAGGATTATTTGATGTGAAGCGTGGAAAATAACGCCAGCCGTCGAAGTGAAACTCTTAAAACTGAATTAAATCACAAGAGTGATGAGATTTTAAGGCTTTTTCTTAATCATTGTTTTTCTTTAAACTAAAACTGTGGAGCTGTTTGATCTTTCCCAGCTTGCGGTGCATTTTTTTTTTATTTCTCATTTTCTTCTCTACTCAGAACTCCGTAGTTGCTCAATACAACTGGTGTAATAAAAATAAGTCAGTGAGGATGATGTACTGTAGGCAGCAGCGTGCCTCATTAACAAAGGCTGTTTGCTGAGCGTGTTTGGGGTTACAGTCGGGGCCAGCGCGCACGCTGTCTGGTCCTTTCTCCCTTTCATTGCCGTTTTTTAATAACATTTGCTAACAGGCTGACCGAGGAAGGGCACCGCGGATGCGCATCAGACTGTTTGCTTTCCAAAGCCATCTCATTAACCGAGCGCCACACAATGTGGTAAACACGTCTCCCAAAGCCTCGACACTACATTCACAACAAGTCCAAACAAATGGCTTGTCAGCAAACTTTAGACAGGGACTTCCAGAGGCCCCAGGGGAAACCAGCCATTTGGCCTGATTGTAAGAAAGCAAATCTCACACACACTAAAGACAGATGGACTACTTGCTGAGATATACTGTGTTTTTAAAAAGGTCATGTCGAGGCCACCGTAGTAATATTCTGAAAGACTGTTGGTGACGTCATGTACTATTTACAGTGCTTTTATTTGGCCGCAGTTGAACTGCACCTATTTGTAAATCCTCCCTGCTTCTTGTGCAGGCATATCGACAAGATGAGGATGTGCAAGCACTGCGTTTCACTCCAGTTAGCTTACACTCTTCTCCCCAACAGCAGAGATGCGCTCTGTTAGTACCCGTTCACAGTGCCAACCAGTTGACTCTCAGCAGAATGTATCTGTAATATATCGCACTGTGACCCTTTGGTGCTTTTTTTTTTTTTTTTTTACTGCGCCTGCTCGGCCCACAGCTCTAAAGTGGCCATCTGCTGCCATGATAGCAGGTACTGTGCGGGGCCAAAGCCCCCCCCCCCCCTCTTTGCTCCTCTCCTACCAACCCGAGTGGCATCTGCTGTTTGTCGGCTGCAATCAGAACTGTTAGCCTTGTTCTCCACACGTCCCTCGTAACATATTTTGAACTTTGACTTTCACTTATTGTGTGACATTTACCGGTGGGAGTGAAGAGCCATTAGCTTTCCTTTCGAATCCCTTGACCTTTACCGTATAGTCTTATCCACTTTCTGTTTGTAATTATGTTTGGAGCAGATACAGGGCACCTCTTAGCTCCCCATTATGTCCAGATCATTTTATGGCAAGTTCTTCCCTCTCTTAACGGTGTAGTAGTGGCCAGTAGTTAAATATGCACCTCAACCCGAATCTGATGAACAAATGTGCTGTTTTATTGAGCTTTCTCGCTTACACGATCACCAAAACTCAGACGTGTCTGCTTTTGAAGATATAAAAAATCCTTATAAAAGATCTCAATGAAAGCTGTGTTTTCCTCCTCGGATTAAATTAACAAAAAACACAAAAATGCTGCAGGGCACACAGCAGAATTGCTCCAACGTCCCCTCTGGCTCGGATTACCCTTTAACGTAGGAGCCCACTAACCTTTTTCTCCGTCTTGCAGACTATAGTGGAGTCCAGTTGCAGGGATGCTGCAGCCAGAGCAGCCTGAACAGCAATGGCAGTCTTCCAGGAGCAGGCAGCCTCCGAGGGGTTCCGGAGCAGCGCGTGGCCAGCTGGGCCGCCTGCTTCGAACGCCTCCTCCAGGATCCAGTGGGTGTGCGCTACTTCTCGGTAAGGAAACAAAAAAGTGTCCCAGATTGATTGAATCCCGGCATACTTAACCGCAAAGTGCTGTCAAAACCAGCAGCGTGAAGCGTCTTGGTGCTTCAGGTTTAAGAGTAAAAGAAAGTGGGCGAGCAGGAAGTGTCGTGTTGTTTGGATTTTATTGATTTTGCTTTTTAATTCTGTTTCTTACTGAAGCCTGAAGAAAAACATCCTCTTTAGTTTTACACTTGTTATACTTGTGCGTAGTGCTCTTCCGTTAGCTGACGATCGACCGTTATGGCATAAAAATGTCTTTTTGAAGGTCTCAGTCTCAGAACTGACCGCATTTTTACTCGGTCCGTTATTTGTTAACATCATTACTGTGAAGTTCCACACATAAAATACACCTCTGCAATGCCTGTCGGTTATTTTATCAAGACATTTCTCATGGCGCACTTACACAGGCACACACGTATACAGTTATATATGGCAACAAAAGAGGAGAATGAAGAGGAATCTTCATTTGTTTTCCTTGGGAATGTGGATTTTTCAGATCAACTCGAGGAGTGCCTTTGGTTTGCATGTTGCACATCTTATCTGAAGTGGGGCTCACACTGGTCCGGTCTTTGGTCAAGCCTTGCTTTGGTCTTTGTCTTTACTTGGTCTTGGTTCAGGTAGTGTTGACTAGACCATCTTCCTTCGTGCATTGAATTATTTAAACGCATCATTACATTTTGTTGTACGTTTTTCTCAATCATTGCCAGACTTTGGAGAGTTGACAGCAGTTGGAAAGCACTTTTTTTTTTTTTTGACAAATCCTAGGTTTATATAGATTTGGAACAGGTTCAAGTTCAGAACCAGTTCTCAATGTCCAACCTTTCCGAGCACAGGCACCTCATTTATGTTACCTCCCACATAAAAGATGTGTCTTTTGAATTTTAGCCCACAACACTTTCAGGAGGCTCAACGCTAAGTTGTGGCGTCCCAGAACCACCTCGCTCCTCACCTCCCCTCAGCGCTGATCAGAGCTGCGCGCCTACACTATCCCTCGCCTACGCTTTACACCAATCCTGTTCGCAACATCACACCCGATCGTTTTTCTTGCCTCACTACTGCTCTCGACAACACTTGCACTGGAACGATGAGAGAGAGAGAGAGAGAGAGAGAGAGAGAGAGAGAATGAGTTTGAGATCGTATAGAAACTCTTGCGCCGTGTGACTTCCACAGGAATTTCTCAAGAAAGAATTCAGCGAGGAGAACATCTTGTTCTGGCAGGCCTGCGAATACTTCAGTCATGTCCCAGCAGCTGATAAAAAGCAGGTAAGTCCACACAGTATGAGGCAAATCCCATTGCTACAAACATACACACGGATTGGAATGGTTCCCAACCTATTTGTTGCGTAAATAAAACCGTCAAACAAAATAAAGTCTGTGTGTGGCTTCTCCTTTCAGATTTGATATCAAGTGAGTTTTCCTTCCCTCAAGTTGTAGAATTTGAATAATCTTAGCGGCTTGGATGGGGTAGATAAAATATATAATTAGTCAACATAGTTTTGTGTACGTGGATGTGTATACCTACGTTTTTAATTCTCTGTTAGAACCACAGTGACGTAGCCACTATTTACAAAGGGCACATTAAATTACATCTGGATGCTTATGTGATGTGCGTGTAAAATATATCCATAAAAAGACTACATTTGTTCTTTAAATTCTCCATCGTCCAACGTCTCTGTCCTGCAGCTGGGCCAGAGAGCTGGCGAGATCTACAACAGCTTCCTGTCCAGCAAGGCCACGATGCCGGTCAACATCGACAGCCAAGCCCAGCTGGCCGATGACGTGCTCACCTCCCCGCGGCCCGACATGTTCAAGACGCAGCAGCTACAGGTACCAACAAGACAGTCCTAGTAGTTAGCTCGTCTCCTAACGCAGACATTTTTTTAAAAATTTGCGTGTCTTTGGTTCATTTCGACTTTCAAGTATATTTACAATGTTCAAGTTCAATATCACAAATGCCTCAGGGGGCTTTACACACGCGTTGAGTTGTTCCGTATTCACACTGAAGATGGAGACACTTCTCTTGACAGTAGGGGGTTTGGTTCTCATCTAGCCTTTAGTCGCTTTGCCCGAGCATATTGGGTTTTCTTCGGTGGCCATCTGGGTTTGTTTACGAAAGGGCCCCGAGCCTTTACAAGAGTGATAAACACAAACTGGCGTACGCCCACGGAGAATCTAGGGCATACTGTACACACTGACACATAGACACGCAGTCAGAGTTCTGTATATTTTCAGGCTGCGCACGAGCATGATAAAACGCTCACTGTTGAGATCTGTCATAACATCAGCTGTAACCATATGTTAACACTAGTAGTTTCTTCTCTCTTGTTTCTGTCTGTGTCATTTTTCTCTTCCTCACTCCCTTATTTTTGACCCTCACGTGCCTCTTTGTGTCTCTCACCTCTTACCTCTCCATCGCTTTCATTGTTTTGTTTTACTCACAAACACTTCCTCTTTACGTCTACAGATCTTCAACCTGATGAAGTTTGACAGTTATTCGCGATTCCTCAAGTCCTCCCTTTACCGGGAGTGCATGCGTGCCGAGGTGGACGGCCGACCCCTGCCGGACCCTTACCAGATTCCCTGCAGTCCTGCGCCCTCGAAGCACAGCGCCACCTCTGACCGCTCGGCCCTCTCAACCCCCAAAAAGGTGCCGCTATTGCTTTTCGACTGTGTCAAAGCCACTGGTCCTTCACTCGCCATACCGGTACGAGAGTTCAAATCTTTTGTTTTTTCGTTTTGCAACCGATAGGAGGCCAGAAAGCAGAGGTCAGGGAGGTCCCCGAATGAAGAAAGCCGGGATGAGAGCGCTGACAAGAAACGCGGCATCTTCTTCTCGTGGTCACGCAACAGGAGCTTTGGGAAGGGCCCGAAGAAGAAGGACATAGGAGACATTAACCTCGGTAAGAATCTGATCAACAAGCCGGTTGCCTTCTGGTTACAGTTTTTAAAGTTTTTTTTTTGCCACACACAAACTTCCAAAGTGCTGATGTGTCCTTGAACTAGACACCAAAATCGCTGTCAGCTCCAGGGTTGCCATGAACTCTATGCGGGGGCACGTAGAAACACAGCTGCTCCGCAGTCCTCAAAGTATTGCATACACAGTCCTGGTACACGAGCAGAAACATACTTCGCATTTTGACCCGCCAGAGAGTGTTGTCTGCAAAGGGCCAAAGTTTTTAAGGTGGTAAAATACCAAAATGAAGTTGATATATTGATTCTGAAACCATTGTTTGGGATTTTGATTATTATAATATCAAATTACAGCTTAAAGTTTGTCTTGTTTTAAAGGCTTCAATTGACTTGAATGTCATTCGCAGATTTAGTTTCAAGCTTTGCGGAAATTATAACAAGTTTTTTGTTTGTAAATATTCTCTGAAAGTAGTCATTCTGGTGTACAAAACATTGCAGACAGCACAGTTTTGATACCATCTTAATTATCTCCATTTCAATCAAGTGATTTCTTGCTAAATTGAACCAAATGTCACACCGGTGCTTCAACGTAAATGTAGCCGCACCATAATTTAACGAAACACTTTGTTTAATCACAAATGGTGTCATATACGATCATAAGTCGTAAGTCGTGCTACAGCTTGACGCTCGCTTGGTGTTACATATCGTACGTGTCCTTTTAATGCACGTAGAGCGCTGGTGTCTCTTATCTGCACGAGTTCATCCTCCTCTGTGCGGTTTTGTGCAGACTACTCGGGCAGTAATGGGCGGAGGGAGTCCCAGGGCTCCTTGTCGTCCGGTACCAGTCTGGAGATGGCCACTTCCTGCTCTGCCGGCAAGATTGAGGTAAGATTCCTCTGGACAGATCACCATGGCAACACAGAGCGCTGTGTCTGGTGAAGTCATCATAACAGGTTGTAGGTTGAACAGCCCACTCATTGTTTGTTTATGGATGGCATAAATCAGAGAGTAGAGAACAACGAGCTACAATTTCAAATGAATCCGTTTATTGTTAACACTTTAAAAGCCATAATCCAGATCTTTACTCTTTTTTTTTTTTTCTCCCAAATCTTGCTTCCATAGTCTGATAATCGCCACTCGGTGTGGGAGCGTTCCCCCAAACATTGCAGCGTGGTGCTGCCCAACGGTTCCTGCTCTTCAATCAGCCTTCGGCCCGGTGCCTCCATAAGGGAAGTCCTCCAAGGTCTCTGTCAGAGCATCAGCATCAACATGGCTGCTGTTGACCTCTTCCTGGTGGGAGGGGAGAAGGTGAGGGAGGCAAACGCCGCCAACAAACTACCAATGAATGCTAAAAACAGCTGCTGCGAGCTCCTCTTTACTCGCCATTTACACATGCGCTATTTAGCAAGGAGTCATTGTTAGAACTCAGGTGAAAAAAAGCTGAATTCAATTGAAAAGAATTCTAAAAGTGGACAATATATACAGTATGTAGTGTTTTGGTTGTTTTACTGGAGCTTAATGTGTTGCTAATGGGTAGTTTTATTGTTTTTCCTTACAGCCTTTGGTGTTGGACCAAGACTGCATGACCCTCAGCTCTCGAGAGTTGAGAGTGGAGAAGCGGACTTTGTTCAGGTATGAATAATTCATCAAAGTTTGCCGGAACTGTCAATTTCTTTTGACACCTATTCTGTCCATGCTTTCATGTCTGCGCTGACATTTACTTGTGCTCTTTCTCTGCTCCTAGATTGGACCTGGTACCCATTAACCGCTCCGTGGGGCTTAAAGCCAAACCCACCAAACCAGTCACCGAGGTCCTGCGTCCCGTGGTGGCCAAATACGGCCTCCACCTCAGCGATCTTGTGGCCAAAGTAGTAAGTCGTCCCCGGTGGCTACGATGCCTTAATCTATTTTTTTAAGCTTCCGTGTGTGTCCGGGGAGCAGCCTGTGTAGTGTGTGACAGTGCCACAGGGTGGAGCATCATGGTCAGGGGAGGGAAGCGACCGCATCCTTTTCCATCTCTACACGGTGGTTAGCACTGTGACTCAGCCTCTGAAGATGGAGCACTGGGGCTATAATTAAGAATGACGACACTCCTTAAACATGCCAACTCCTCCCCTAGACCCCTGCCAGAAGATTTTATTTTAGTCCTGTGGGGTTTTCAGGCATTATAACAGTATTATACAGTAGTCCAGAGCTGAGGAATAGTTCATAAATTAAACAAAGGCTCGTGAACTCAGATATCAGCCTTGTGCTCGACATACTAAGAGGAATTATTCCATATTTACACTTCTGCACAACAGGTGAAGATTGTAACGTGTTGACCATCGATTTGTGTTTCGTTTTAGAGCGGAGAAACGGAGCCTTTGGACCTGGGCGCCCCCATATCGAGCTTGGATGGCCTACGAGTTGTTTTGGATCGAATCGACCCAGCTTCAGGGAAAGGTAAGACCATCTAACACACTGCAGCACAATATCAATACTAAATATTACAAACTGACAAAAAAAAACAAGAACTTATTTCAATTCTAAATATGAAAAGTTGTTTTTCCGACTGGAACTTGTAAACAACGGTTTCTAAAATGTCCTCTCCTCTCTTTTTTGTCTCATTAATTTCTCAGCCTGATGATTAATTTTCTTGTACACCTCTCTCCGTCTCTCTTTTCAAATAGACAAATCTAAGTCGTCCTCCCTAAAAAACCACCCCCCAAGTAGAAGTTTTTCTGCCACAGTAAGTACTCCCGACATCTTTATTCTCATATATATGTTGCTTAAAAATGTCCCGCTGTGGTGTTTTGTCCCTTTCCGCTGCTGCGCTGCTTATGCAACATCCCGCATTCATCCTTATTAACATCTACAATCTTTTGACAAGCTTTGAGTTGGTGGGTTCCCGATTTGTTTGTATCCCTTGGCCTAACACTGCCTGTGGCTGACTTCACTTGCTCCCTTTCCATGCTTGAGTTATTGCACCGTACGTAGGCAGACAGCACTCGGTCTGGACGCTAGCAAGGTCGGTAAAGACGCGGAGAGCCAGCAGATGGACGAGGCTCATCTTTTACATGAGGGTATCAGTAAATCCGGACACTCTGCTCAGTAGGGTGCTCTGCAGCTCATGCTTAGCCTCCCCTTTATGCCCCCCCTCCCCATCCCCCCATCCCCTAACAGATTGCATTGTTATTGTTGCATCTGCAGGGAGATGAGAGGTCAACACCAAAGGACTTTTCTCTGAGAGCAAGTGGACCAGACTCAGCACTCCCAGGGGAAAAGAGAAAACAGAAAAAGATTAATATAGATGAAGCTGAAGGTAAATGTCCTTCTTTCTCTCTTTCTTTGACTTATTGGTGGATTTCTTAGCTTTGCTTTGCTTTGCTTTCCCCGTCAGGTGTGAGGATGCTACGCTGAATGTTAACCCCCTCAACTAATCATTTCCTTCCAGGAGCTCACCTATTTGGAAAGTCTAAGTGAGGGAACCTGTTTGATCTGTGTTGCAGAATTCTTTGAGCTGCTGAGCCGGGCGCAGAGCTCCCGAGCCAACGACCAGCGCGGACTCCTGAGCAAAGAAGACCTGGTGCTTCCCGACTTCCTGCGTCTAGTCCCACCCACCTCCTCCTGCTCCGCCTCCTCTGACCTGGCCTGCTCCACCCCAGACTCCCTGAAACAAAGTCGGGAGAACGGCGTCTCCTTGCGGGGGGCCCTCACCGCCAGCCTTCGCTCAGAGAGCCTGGACTCCTCCCTCAGCTCCAGCGCCAACGGACACTCCGGGACCAGGCGGTGCCTGATGCCCCCTACTCGCCACTCGACTTTTGGCACCCACCTCTCCCCCATCCCCCGGCCCTTGGACACCCGGCCGATCCTCCGCACCGTAGAGGAGGACGCCCACAGCGACCTGACTCTCGTGGGGGAGGGCGACATCAGCAGCCCCAACAGCACCCTGCTGCCTCCATCGCCGTTCCCCATGCAGTCCTTCAACAGCAGCCTGCCCGAAGCCAACTTCACCCCGCCGCCAATCTGCCCCCAGTCTCAAGACGCGGGTGGAGAGGGAAAGTCCAGTTCAGGTACTTCTACAGTGTAATAAACCAGTGCTCCGTGTGTTTGCGTGTGTGTGGTATGTGCATGCGTGCGCTCTCCCCCCCCCCCCACCAACCGGTGGTCTCAACCCGACCACCTTCACCATTAAACTCCCTCTACACTGACTCTGATGCACTTTAATGACAAATTGATACTGACTCTTTCTCAGTTTGCCATTCATTTAAACTGATTTGTTTTATTAAACTTAGCAAAGCATGTGTGTGATTGATCCTCGTTACACTCAGATCTCGCCTTGTAAATACGGATGTGTATATTTTGTTCAGTGAGCAACGTTTACTTGGATGTCACTTCCCACGCCACAAATTGTTGGGTTCGCCACATGACTGGGATGACTTCACTCCAGTTAGATATTCAGTTTATTTTGTAGTTTTGGGTGTCTGAGAATGCTGATGTAACTGATTTGCAGAGCTTGTGGATATTAATAATATATGCATAGTGCATACAGATTAATGAACAATATTCGACAGCGCTGCAGTGGGTGAATTGAGAACAACTGAAAGTGATGCGATTAGCAGCTGTGTTTCCTGGCATACGGGTTCATTATGTGCAATTAGAAAAACATCGCAGCAAACCAGACCCATGAAATTGTTTTACAGTGTTGGACCTGTGGCTGCTGACAGTCAGTACAATATAAATACTGTGTTCCTCTCCATCCCACCATCTCAAGTTAAGAGCAATTCAACAATGTCAAAAAGCGTCTTTTTGTTTTTTGTATCTCTCAAACCGGTGAGTCATTAAATGGTGTCGGCAAATTGAGCAATGGCGAAAATAATTAGTCACCGGAGGACAAGTGCTCCTTAGCGCTGGTGACATTGTTGAATTGCCCGTCATTCTCTATCCGGGTCATTCACTCCCTCTCGCTAGATGCCTGTTGTAGATAATCACTGCCAATAAACTCTGTACCTGTGATTGAGTAGATCTAATAAATGTTAGAATTGTAAATCACTCTCGTCTGTCTTTTTACACGTTTGTGAGCTCAGTTTTCTCCCCCGCCTTCCTCCTCCTCCTCCTCCTCCGCCTCCGCATGCCTCCTCCCCTTTCTCCCTCAGCTCTGTCTCACTCTTATCCTGTGGCTTTCTCCTCTCATCAGCTCCCACTCCTTTGTGTACTTTTCTGTGTGTCGCCACGCGCTCTGTGTGTGTGTGTGTGTGTGTGTGTGTGTGTGTGTTCTGCTCAGATTGCTCAGTGTGTCGGTGTTTGTGAGGCCTCGTTAAAACGCCACTTGGTCCACCTGCTCGGTGTATTGTTATTTGATGGGGTCACCGCTCTGTTGTGTGTTGCCTTAAGCGTGGCATTTCGGGGTCTTTTTGAGTCGGTCTTCTTTCAAACTTGTGTTTTCAAAGCTTGCCGTTGTGTGTCGACTCTTTGTGTATGGAGTGCTAGATCATTATCATCATCTCCCGCAGATGGATCTCATTTTCTATTTCTCCATCCATGTCACCCCCCCACCCCCACTGTGTTTGTTTCTGACATAAGGTACACAATGAAGTGGTGAATTTATTCGTAATGGTGATGGGTTTTTTCTACAGTAGACATTTTCAGAGTTGCCGGGAATACATCAACTAAGGCCAAAAGCTTTCTGTCTTCAGATATCCAATTAGAGGCAACACGTTGGGTTTTTTGATTGTTGGCTTTCACAAAAAATCCCAGGAAAGCTTCTTTTGAAACCCTGTGAACTCTACAGGAAGAGAAAATAATCACGCTCTACATGTTCGCCCAACAACAAAGCTGATGGGTCCCTCGCACTTCAAAGCACGTCATCGAAGGTGCACGAGCATGTTCGCTCTGAGCTTACTGCCTTGTATTGAAAGGCTTTAATGTAAGGTATGTACACACGACGGCGAGGAAGGATCAGAGCTCCTCTTCTCTGGTTGCTAAGTGCATCAGCCTGATTCTTCCCACCACTATGCGCCATGGTAACCTTATCCACGAGTTGACTTGAGCTCCAGATAGAAACTGTCACTGTTCGCTATCTCCCATCCTATTTCTCTCCATCTCTCCCTTTCTCCCACCAGCTAAAATAGAACCAGAGCTATGATTCAGGCCTGTATATCTCTCTCTAACTCTGAGTCTGTGAGGGATCCAAGTTAACACGCCTCCACTCTTTTTAGAGACTTTATGAAGTTGTTACTTTTTAAAATTCTGGTGGAAAGTCATGCTCATGGGCTTAATAATGTGTTTACGAGACAAACCACCCACTGAATAAGTGAGAGGCCGTCAAATTAACAGGGGTTCAGCAGCAGTTGTGCTCTTTTAACTGCGTCAATCTGCTTGATTTCAGCCACTGCAGACGTCCATTTACAGATTGTATCGCTGTTAAACGGACGCCCTCTGCTGTTACGAGGGAATAAATAATTGCTGATGAGGCGGATCGACATCTTCCTCAGACATCACTGCCACTGTGCCATAAATAATAAAGTACTACAGAAAGGCAGAGGATTAAGTCCGGATAAATGTTCTTCATATGAGAAATAAGCGACTTTAAAAAAATACTATGACTCTGTTGTTTCCTCTGATTGTACTGCAAAGTCATCAAACTCACGAATGCATTTAAGGAGCACAATAAAATGTGTTTATAGACCTCACCGATTTCTTTTAGGGGGTGCAATTTCTTTTGTACTAAAAACCATTATACCCTGACATCAGTTTAAGCATTTGCATCTAAAGCAGTGGCTCTAAGGCATAGTCCACAGTACCCAGAGTGCTTCTAGCCCTACAGGTAGTTTCATTTACTTGGCATATTATCAAGTGTGAATTATCCCCTAGTTAGACTGCTGAAATCAAAACCAGAAGGCCTCTGGTCTGTATCCAGAGGACCAGAACTGAGAACTGCTGCCCGTTGTTACCACAATCATGTCCTAATCACAGCTGTAATCACCTCTCCCTGTCTGGCAAGTGTTGGGTCAGCAGGGCCGGTTGGTGGGGATAAGGCCGCCCACTAGAGGGCGACATCACACAGTGTAACGCCATTCATAGGACTGATTTGAACTCACGGCCATGAGCTTTTAGTTGCATGCTAAATAATATTAATAAATTTTAGAAATTAAGTTTTCTTTCCCCCTCTACACAGTCGGGGTCAGAAGTTAGTTGCTGAAGGTTTTAATTCAGAGGAAAGGTTTGGCCCAATACGAGAAGATTCAAGTACTCCTGGGAGTAAATGGGACATTCATTTTAAGGCCAGGCTATCTACACACTGTGCTCTGTAATGACTCAGCACACCTAACCCGAGGGACCATAAGGCTCAGTGTCTCTGTGTCAGCTCTCAAAGCTAGCAGCCTCGGACCCTGGGCCAGCTTTGTCGTCCATCTGGCGGTCAGAGGAGGGCTCGACGCGGATCTTTTGGCAGTCAGCCTCAGTGAGGACTGTAGCTGGGTCCGTTCCAGTCTGGCTGGTCCGTCTCAGCACCCGGCTGCTGACGTGCCTGTGGACGAGACTCTCCACGGGAGACGCGGTGACATGGTGTGTTTAACGTCATGTTTACGCATCATAGCAGAGAGAGCAGGCTTGAACATTGAACACGTTTGAATTTAAAATAAATACATCGCATTGGAGTTTCCCTTCTTCCAGAGACAGGAGTATGCAAAACCAGGCATGTTTGAACTATCTCAACGTGATCTTGAGCCATTTATTGTAAATAAAACTATTGGTAGGGTTGCTCAATGATTACAGTAGGATCATACACTATTTTAATAATGAATCCAATTAAGCAAAAAGAAGTTGCAGTCCTACTTGGGACCCTTTATAAAGCAGGGATGTTAACTGACAAAGGTTAACTATTTTTATGAGCAATTAAGACCTGAGTCAAGAAGGGATTTTTACTTTTATATTTTGCTGAACTTTAAAAAAAAAAAAAAATACATTTTGTAAGCCTGAAGAGGTAAAATCTAGTATTTCACAGGAAAGTTGCAATTATAAACAAATTGTAGGTGATAAAGGATTTTTCGTATTGCCTAAAATCATCTCATTGCCCTTTAAAATCTATCTTGCGACTCCTTGAGGGGTCCTGATACCCAGGTTGGGAACCGCAGGTGCAGAGAGTAGGGGTCAAGAATGGATTGCTTAATACATTTATGATGTCGAAAGTACAATTTATTTTTAGTTCGACAAAACCCAATTCATCGAAATGCGTCACCTTGCCACTCTGCATACCAGCGTCAATAAATCACATCCTGCGGAAAAACCCTGTGATAGAGATTCATGTTGATGTGTCAACTATATTAAATATTTAATATTAAATTCTAATTAACTGGCAAACACACATCAGAACCATGTCCTTGAACTTCAGACAAGACCGTGACAGTTGCTGAAAAGTCCCTGAATATGTTTGGCGATCCCCTTGGTGGTTGAAGTCGCTGTGTGGCTGAGGGTCTGTGTAAGGTCAGCTGTTGGAGCTCACAGGCTGTGTTTACATCTGCACTGAACAGCAGTGAATCACAGTCAGCAGAGCTAGGAGAGTCTATGTGTTGAAGTTCCGTGTTTGAGTCACTCGGGCCTCTGTGTTTAGAGTCTGAGGGGCCACAGGGTTCACATGAGAAGTGGAGAGTTTATCCGTCATCATAACCCGTAATGCTTGCATCCCGGAAACTTGGGTTCGTAGCCGCCTGAGTGCACTGGCATGAGAAGACGGGGACAAATGGGGTCCACATGCATAACACACCCTCCTTAAATGTGATGTTAAGGTTGCATTAACTTGTGTCTGATGAGGTCATGCAGCCCCAAATTGTTTGAAATGAAGCACAAGTGGTAATGTTGAAACACAGCACATGTGACAACAAGTCTATGAATGAATACATTTAATCCTGTTACAATTTCCTTCAGTTCTTTCCCATGATTTGGCAAGCGAGTTCAGCAAGTTTGAGCTGAAGCAGTTATGTCATTTTTTTCTTTCTTGACAACAGCTGTCCAGATTACACAGCTATACAGTTGTCAGATTACGCACGCATATTAAACTGATGTGTTCATTTGAGCGGGGTAGAGCTAAAATGCATGTGCACCCACGCCATGGGTGACAGCGTTTCCATTTTTTAGATCCTCTGAAGTCTCATACATTCATGCTAAGCATCTGGTCATCATGCAGTCTAATGAGGAGGCGAAGCTCAGTCGCCTGCAGGTCCATGTGAGTCAAAGCTGCACAGAGATGGGACAATTTTTTGTACCTATATTTAGTCACCATTATATAAAAATATATTTTTGACAGCAAGTGTTTGCCTGTTTTAATTTGCTTATTTAAAGCTGAAGTCATCAACATTTCTATATAAACAAAGGATTAAGTTATGATGTGAAAGGAATAACTCATAATGACCATGCTCATAAATATTCAACCATGGCCGTCCATAATGCAACAACTCCTCTTAAATCTTCCATGTCTGTCTGTATCTGTGAAGGAACGAACCCAAACGCGGACACCAAATCACCCACCGACGGAGCCGACGCTGCACAGACGGTTCAGGAGGTGATGGATGTGGAGGGGGTTCACCTGGAGGAGGGGACGCTCGAAACATCCCAGGGAGAGGACTCTGAGCTCAGCCTGAGCTTCCAGGGCTACGTCGCTGAGCTGCGGCAGTGCCAGAGCAAGCTGAGGAGTACCCAGATGCCCCAGAACGGCCGCAACGCACCGGAGGGCAAGGACTGCAAGACGGACCTCTACAAGGCCACAATTGTCTAAAGGGAACCCCCCCACTGCTGCACTTTTTCAGCCTGAGGCACTGTCTTTTCGAAAGGGAATTAGTTAAACGATGGACTGCATGTACACTCCAAACAAAATGAAGAAAAAAAAATCTATATTACAGTGATAGATATTGTATATTTGTTACGAATTCTGGCGTGTTCTTGTTGATTTTTAGTACTGGTTGTGATTTTTGGACAGTGATATGTTTTTGTTATGGTTTAGTTTAATAATGACGTGCAAAGCAATTGTATCAAGAGCCATGTTAGACCAAGGACAACCATGGAAGAAGCCGGGAATGAACTTTTGGGTACTACTTTCTAAGTAAAGCATATATTGCAAATGGTTTATAAGTTGTGATTAGTGGGTTTATTTATCGTTTTAAGTCGTCTTTACTTTCTAATAAACCTTCAAAATGAATTAAATAGCTATATAACTAAAAAGTAAGTTATGTTAGCGAACAATACGTACAAGCCAAGGGATTAACCATTAATTAAGCTATTAATTACAACTAATTGTATTTATAAAGTTTGATTTAAAAATCTTGACTTAATGTCCACCTACTAGCTTTTCCAGCTCGTCTTATGCCGAGGAAGGCTGTGAGATGCAGTTGAAAGCTAAAAAAAAGCTAGTAAGTGAACCTTGAGTTTGAATTTTTTCTCAAAAAACTCTTGCCCTATTTGAAAGCGGGACCCACTTTTGTTGGACCATAAGCTAGAGAGGACTCTGTTTTAAGGATCAAAAGGGAGGCAAATCACACTTTTAATGCATATTTAAATATTTCCTCTATATCATTCCTATGTTTTGCAGATACTGACGGTACCTTTGTTGCCTGTACTTCCTGCTTCTGTGGTTTTGAGGTTGTCCACATGTTAAATGATTAAAAAGCTTTCATGGCTGTAAATTCCAACAAAACTGACACGCTTCTCTTTTGTTACATGTATATGATTAATTCTGGTATACCCCATCCTAACCTCTAGCCCCCCCCTTGTCTAAAAAGCTCTGCATTCTCCTACTTGTCATATTTGGCCAGCTAAATGTGTTTGCCAAGTTAGTCAGAAATGTCAATAATTAACGGAAATGGTTGTCTTAGTTGAACAATTTCCTCTTTGGCAACACACTACCTCCACCTGGGGATTTGTTGTCCAATGTGGACGTGCTGTTCAGTCGTCCAGCCTCCTCTTTGTATTTTTAGCTCAGCATCTGGGGAGATTATTACAGGTGGTGGAAATTAGAGGTTAGACTATGGGGTTAGTCTTGACACAGCATGTTACTGCTGGAACGCTGACAACACATGTGGCATGTGAGAGGGTTGGGCCCTTCACTTTCCTGCTTCCCTGCTAAGCATGCTAAAATACCGATAGGCTTCATGTAGAATGCCACAAAACTGCACTCCCTGTGGAATTAACGTTAACGTTAGCTAAAGACTAATGCGATTGATTTCAGTATTTAACCCTAAATCGTTCGGTATTTTTTTTATATTAGCTTAATCCTCTGTCATGCTTTAATATTAGACGTGTTATTTAATGTAATGTTTTTGTTATAAACCCGCAAATCGCCTTGGTATGTCTAAGTTATGGTATTTCTCATAGCTAACTAGCTTAGTGTATATGCTAACTAGCTTAGCATGCTAACGTTAATCGCGTATAGCTACTAATAGCTTAATTTGCTATTAGTAACGCTAGCTAAGTGACCGTTATAGTCACTGTCGCTACCTGTCAAAAGTAGACATTGTTTATACAAACTGTTTAAAAAAAAACAACAACCAGAAGATACATCTTAAACTAATGTAAAAATTTTTATTATGTGACCCTGGCAAAAAAGTAACGTGAATAGTCACTGGAGTAACGCGTTAACGTTACACGGACCTCGACGCTGGAGAGGAGGGATCCTGCAGCACCATGAGCCGCCTCTGCCTCTGGAAACTTTGGGTTTGTCCTCTTTTGATAACTCACAATGATGAACCGTGGGCGTCAGGGAACACCAGCCGGGATATAGGATGCCTCACAGATAGACAAGCCCAATGACGCAACGGGTTTACTCAATACAGCTTGAAATTGTGAGGAACAGGATAATACTTGCAGGGTTTCCCACGTTCCCTATGACCAAAACCAGGCTGAGGACTCGGAAACTTACTGATATAACGTGACAGGCACACAGACACCTCTTCCGACTCCTGGAAGCAAGTTTCTCCGGACACCAGGGACCAGCAGATGCAAACTTCCATGATGGCATACCTTATTTTACTTTTTCTACCTTGTGTTTTCACTACATGGGCGGTAAGTTGTACCCTTCTTACGCACGCCTTGTGCGTCTTTTTCATCCATTTTGCGTGCGCTAAAACCAAGAAAAAGTGCAATAACGTATCTTCCCTGATTTCAGCGCATGTTAGTCCCTTCAGATGAAGGAGTCCTCTCCAAAGAGCCGGTCAGGGAGAGCCGGAAAGGTAGGTTTTTACCTCAGTCGTATGTTTGATTTAGAGGAGAAAGGAGGGAAGGGGATGCACGTTGAAACTGGCAGTGAATGGGATGCATTTCCAGCTGAAGTAACAGAGAAAGTTAGTGGTGCAACATAAAGCTAAAACATGTGGGAGCATGACTTGATGATCTATTTAATAACATAACATATTTCTTTGTTTCTTTCATATTCTGTTGTGAATTGTCATGTTTTTATTTTTAGATTTCATCTTGCTTTGTCACCAAGACAAATTGCTCGTATGTGCAAACACACTTGGCAATACACCTTTTCTGATTCTGATGATTTAGCTAATCAAGAAGAGGATCATGGATTTATTGTCCTCGGATCAGAGCTATGTACAAAGTCAAAGAAGTCTTTGTGCATGAGGTGCAGGGGGGGGGGGAACAGTTTGTGATTTCCCTCTTTTGTGTGTTTGCCCATCTGTATTCATTTGAAAATAACAAGCTGTGTTTTTTTTTGTTTTTTTGCTCTGCTGCCAGTTCTCACTACAACGGACAAAGAATGTAAATTCCCATTTCGTCAGGGTGGAAGAATTCATCATCACTGCCTCACCATCCTATCCTCAAAACCATGGTGAGTCCACATATTAGCCGGCCCATCTGGCTCCGCTGTTTTGGTTACACAAACAAACCACTAATGCACGTGTAACCACACGAAGTTACCACACACAGTTACCACACACTTCGACTTACACAAAGAGACGTCGCAACACTTGACAGGTAGAAGTGCTGCGTCGTTATATTTGGTTTTCATTCAGACGCCCGCTCATAAGCTACACACCTTGTCTACGTCTCTGTCACACAGACCGCAGGTGTTGCATCACAGCTGTTTGTATGACTCGCCCCAAAAAGTTAGATTTAATGAGTTTAAGGAGCTCATTCGCTTCAGTAAATTGCTCATTGATGAAGCGTTGATGGGCCTTATAATGATTTGCGTGCCCCAACTAGAATATCGTACTATGATGTTATTATAACCAGATGATTTTGAAGGTGACATGAGATAGAATGTAGAACATCCATCTTAAACTGCGACGGTGGCTGTAGTTTATAACACTTTTACTACTTCCTGCAGTTTATCCTGAGGGTAGATAAACAGCTGTCACAGTTAAACCATCACGGTGCATTTTTACTTGCTTCAGTTTGTGAAATAGTTACAAAATCATCCTTTTATTGGATTTTCTATGTTGGAGCAACTTGCTGAAGGGCTTTCCAGTCATCATTCCTTTGAAGTGAGAGGAGAAGGGTGGCTGCCAGCAGCAAGTTGGAGCAACATCAATGCAATTATATATGGCTCAACATCTCTGGTCCACCTACACATGAAGTTAAACACAATGTGACTCTGCGTGTTTTTGTGATGTGCTCACGAGCTCAGTGTCATGATAGGTTTGTGATTATCTACCGCAGATGCAGTGAGCGGTCCAGAAGTCTGCTGACGTTACTTTGGTTAAAGTAGTGGATGATTGACGGAGTTAGGGAGGTTATGTTTCAGAAAGAGTTTCCCTTTTTGCTGATACCCGCATGCTAGCGTGATCATTATGACAATGTTGGTATGGTGATGTTTGCTTGAGAAAAAGTCAGGAGGTCACTGTAACAAGTCATTCTAAAAGATGGGGGAGGAGTTAATGTCTGTACCGAATTTAATGACAACCAATCCAATAGCTGTGGAGACATTTCACTCAGAACTTAATGCCAACGAGAAAGTCAGGGGACTAAACAAAGTCATTGAGATTTATTTTCCCGGGGAACCATGAATGTCTTTATAAATCAGTCCAAGTGGCAAACTGACCGACCGAGGAAGCGATCTATAATGTGTTATCACTGAATATTCCTCAGGATGGCGTTAAATGGAGAGATCTCTGACAGTTTATAATACGGTCCTATTGGCCAACACTGCCAATGTTTCTTCCATTTGTATTCCAGGCGACGAGCTGGTGACTGTGATATATTTCTGTCTCTTCTGTTGCAGGTGCTCCCTCACGAGTAACTTTGACCGTGACCAGCAGTGGGGCTTCTGTGCACCGGAGAAAACTCAGCCAGAGGGTTAGTTCACCAAACACCATCAATCCTGATACTGTGTTGTTCATCCTGTAACTGTCTTCTCTGTTGGTCTGTTTCAGTTTTTGTACACACGTCACGCAGAATCACAGATCCATGTCAGGTGAGCCCGTGTCAGAATGGAGGCGTCTGCACGCTGATCCCACACGGACGCTTTGAGTGCTCCTGTCCTGAGAGCTTCACTGGCACACTCTGTGAGCAGAGTAGGTACAATTTAGGATTGTTATTATTATTTTATGAATGACGTAAAATATAATACCACTGTTACTGTTGTCATTGTTGTCATGTGTATCCTTAGAACATGTGTTTTTGTTTGTTTTTGTTTTGTCAGATTCTCTCTGCAATCATGTTTCCATTGTGCCCGAGTTCAGTGTTTTCGTATCATTGTGCACATTTGGCTGCCAATCACCTGACAGCTGCCGAAGGAAACAAAAGTCTCTGCCAGCAAATAACAAACCCCATCATCAGCTTCATGATGTTTATTTTAAAAAGTCCTAAATGTGACATGCTTTGCAATATAATGAAGTTACACGGGCAATATTTAAATGTCTTCTCTTGAATTTGATTATTGTTTTTTGCCAAATATGATTTCCAAGATCAAGAATGAAATTTCACGCTCGACTTCTGTCCTTTCTCAACTCCCTCGCTTGTTTCAGAGACGTCGTTTGCAAAGAGGTTTCACCCTACGTTCAAAGTCATTTCAATTCCTCACAATCAAACAAAATCAAAACACAAAAAAGACACCCAAACACGTTTCCACAAGAATCTTGCACAGCTCAGCCCATCAAACTTTGCTCGGCACGCTCCATTGAGCTCTTCAATCTCCTCTCGCATCTCCACCCTAATGCCTTTTTATGCGTCTGTGTCGGCTTTTCAGAGAGGTGCTATGAAACCGCACACCTGCGCTATTATGACACCGGAGAGTCTTGGGGACGAATTCACCTCCGTAATGTGGAACAGTGCACATGTGTGGCGGGGGAAATCAAGTGTGAAAGAGTTCGCTACACAAGTAAGATGTGCTTTCAGCTGCTGTTCTGCTTCAGTTGTGTCTTGTTTTTGCTCTGTGGTCTGCTTTTTGTTGAGGTGAGAGTGAAACCCAATAAGGGGATGTGTGTAAAATACTGACTGATGAATGTAGATTAGCGCTCTCTCAGGAATGATGTCTTTATGGTTTTTTTTTTGATTTGACAAGCTTTTTCATACGTGTCAGGTCTCCTTCCAGCCCGGAGACGTGCTTATTCTCTTTGATCACAGCTCCATAGTTACACAGCCAGCGAAGAAAAGACTAAGATTATATGACTCACTGTGACTCAGGAATGGTGTTTTAGGACACACCCCATGGGTCCGTAAGGTGCTTTCATCTCGATGTGTGGGGTGGGGGAGATCTTCATAGGCATTTATAAAAGAGAACGGCAGTGAGGTGGTTTCATCCTCACTGAGCCGAAACCTGTTTTTTGTCATGATGGTCGGGGCTGTTCTTATTCTCTACAGTGGGGAAAAAAATCCTTAAAGCTAAATGCACCTGAATGCCCTTTGACTTGACTCTACAATGACATTTTGACTTTTCTAAATTTTTCTCAAGGGGGACTAAACTCCTAAAACACATGTCACTTTGACATAAATGTTTGGCAAACAGTTTCTCATTTCCCCAACCAGCAGAGCAACTTCTGAGGGAAAGATCTGTCTCTTTAGCTGCTAAATGCTCCTCCGTGCTAGTAGCTTTGTCTGTCTGCTGTTTGGTGGTGCACACGTCAGTTTATCAGAGCTTTTTTTGTTGAAAACAGCTGACTGCTGCGGCTGAAAACGACGCTATGCTAGAGCCAGATATTTCCCTCGCAAGTTGGTAGAGACCAAAAACAGAGCTAGATTTGCCATTTACGATATGTGAATGTTGTGTGTACGACTCTCTTCCGGGTTTAAACCATTTGTAAACCAGACATATTAGTTTATAAAGCTTTTTGTGGAAATATAGAGTATGTATGTGTGACCTGGTTTCCCTCTGTGTCCCCAGCGTGCAGTTCAAACCCTTGTCAGAATGATGGAATGTGTCGACTGATCACAGCCACCGGCAAGGAAGTGTGCAACTGCCGAAGCGGCCACAGCGGTCCGTACTGCAGCTTCGGTGAGTAAAAAGCAGGACTGTAGTGTTATTCGTCACGTGTGTTTGTCATGTATGCGTGTTCATGCATGCACGTGTGTGCGTGACAATGGGTTTGATTAATGATGGCAGGAGAAGACATGGGCAAGCTGCACTCGGTTGGTGTGCAGAGAGTTTGTTTTAGGGCGGATTTTAGTGTGGAAGCAAGATATCTGTCATCTGGAAGTTGTCTGATTGCATTCATATTGTTTACATATTTGTGTTGTACTGCGAAATCGAGACATGCTTGAGACATTTTTTGTTTTGCCTGTTTCCGCCTGTGGTGTGTGTGTGTGCGTGTGTGTGTGCAGAGCCGGAGACGGAGTGCTATAACAGCAGGGGCACAGATTACAGAGGGCTGGTGGGCACCACGGTGTCCGGCGCCAGGTGCGTGGCGTGGAACTCGGACCTGCTGTACAACGAGCTCCATGTGGGCACGGTGGTCGCCTCGTCCCTCAAGGGCCTCGGGGAGCACGCCTACTGCAGGTGTGTGTTGGGACGTCCCGCTAATTCTGGTAGCCAGCAACATGACAGGCGAAGGCCGCTTCTGGTTTGAGGAGACGTTGTGTTGATCTTGCGGTTTGCTGTGGTAGGAACGGGCTCAGCGTGAGCTAGCAGAGCTGCCCGCTAGGGCAACTCAGAGGCAACCACACAACCACCATGAGCATTAAAGAAGCACATGAATCCAGCCTGTGTATCGTAAAAAAAACAACTAATCTGCTCCACATTCGCTCCTCTTCCATTTCTTCCAGCTTTCCTCATTCGTTGTTGCTATGACTACCCAGCAGCCATATGGCATGGCCACCAAAAATGTCTCAAACATCAAAGAAAAGCAAACACACTAGCACACAAGTTTTATTGCCGGGAAAGTTTCATATTGCAGCTCAGTGAAACTTCACTCCCAATCATTCAAACTGAATCATTTTCAGCCTCCACATTAAACAGCGATGGAGCCCCTTTAAGCCTTTTCAGCCAAGTGTGTGGGTGTGTTTGTGTGTGTGTGTAGAAACCCAGATAAGGACAAGAGGCCGTGGTGCTACACACTAAATGACGGCGCCATCTCCTGGGAGTACTGCGACGTCCCCTCCTGTGTGATGCCTGTGTGTGAGTAAACGGGGCGCAGCAAAGGAGTTTTCTTTTTGTCATGTAGTTGGCTCCATCACTGAACTGCTGCATTGATATACAGCGATGCTCTTCCCTATTGGTAAAGCATGATACATCTGTTAGATTGGCCAGATATAACAACTCGATGTTGCTTTCATCGTTTGTTAAAGAAGTCGTGCAGTCACTTCATTCTTTCCATTGATTATCGGCCTTGGTTATTGTCGGCCTCATTGTTTAGGTAAGTCGAAGCTAAAACATTTTTGTCATTATAAGGAATGAAAAGCTAAGACTATTCACGAAGGCCACTCGCTGCATCATTCAATATCTTTATTCTCTGCCTCAGTCATATGACGCATTCAGGGACAAATGCAGAAACCTCTCGACGCCTCAATAAACGCCTCGACTTTTAATCAGAAATCCAGCGTTTGTGATGAAGACAGAAGGGCGGAGACTACAGCTACTGTGTGGAGTCACGCTGCTCCAAAAAACGTGGAATTCAGCCAAGCTGACTGTTTTTTGGCAGAGCTTGTTTTTAATAACGTGGGCTCGATGAGATGAAGGGGAATAAGGCATGACTCACCCTGAATCAACATGTCACGTCAGGTGCTGCCAATTGTTTACGTAGCGAGTGGGATTTGGCGCAGTTGACCGTCTCATGATGCCGAGGGTATGCTCAGAATCCACAACATGTGATTGAAAGCACGGGGTTGCTCTGCTACCCTTTTGTTTGTGCTTTCTTGCAGGGGAGAATGAGCCAGCGACAAACACGAAAGTATTCAGAAGAGGTATTCTAGGGAGTGTGGTAGCAAAATATAGTTGTAGTAGTTAGTTGTAGTTCTAATTCATGTTTACAATTGTAGTTTGTAGTTGCATTAATGCCACTAAGTCTGAGATAATCACGCATTTTAATGTTTTTTCTTCACGCAGCTTCTTCTCGAAGGATTATGCCGTTTAATGTCCTACCCGTCATTAAAAGACCAAACCCCTCCATAACCACCAAAAAGCATGTGTGTGGCAAAAAGCACAAGAAGAGGTTATCGGTAGCCAGGGGCCGGATAATGGGCGGAAACTCGGCTCTGCCGGGTACTCACCCCTGGATGGCAGCCATTTATATCGGAAAATTGGACTTCTGCGCCGGCACCCTGGTCTCTTCTTGCTGGATCGTCTCTGCAGCTCACTGCTTCTTCCGCAAGTATGTCCTGGATGCACTTCAGCTGCAACGGAGGCTTTTATTTGCATTGATGTCACTTGCAGAAAAGGCAACGTTTTTGTAGTAGCCAAGTGCGCTCTGAAACTTTGGGACAGAAAAAAAAGACGTGTTTACGTCCTTGGGAGCTCTTTTCAGCCTGTGTGTAAAAGACTGAAAGTGCTCAGTTTGAGTCAGCAAGAAACCTAATCGTTGAGGAAGCGTTCATAGATCAGAGGGGAGCATTTTCTGACCTTTGCAGCTGAACAAGGCACGTGATTCAAAGACTTTGACTCCTCAGCATCACAGCTTTACGATCGCCCTATATTTAGACATCCAGTTCGAGGAAAACCTAAAAACGTCTCATGCGCAGATGCTGTTTACATGCAAGTGCACACATTTCCCCTTTGATGTCAGCAAACAGGCATCTGTTGTCATTGCTGAAGTTCAAAGAGCTAAATCATGACATCATTGAATTGGACACCAATAGCAGTGATTGAAAGTAGTTTTTTCAGTGTTTTTAAAAAAAAAAAAAGGATACAGACCATAATACCTGCAAGGCTTTCTTTTAAACATGCTGTCACTGCTAAACTGATTCAGTATCAGCTGGGACTTGATTGAACTAATGAAAGCAGAACAAGAGTCCACAGTGTTCCTTACACACCTCAGTACAAACACGCAGAACATAACGAACAACGTGCTCGAGATGTAGCTATTATTAGAGTCTTGAGTCTCAAAGTGTTAATATTTGTCCCGAGGGAAAGAGATCATTAAATCAGGTCTGACATGGGGAGGGTTCATCCTCTGGGGAGCATCCATGTACTAGATATATTTAATGGGAATCTGCTGATTAGATTTCCATATTTCTTGTGCATTTTACGGCCAATCAATGTTGGTGATAAAAGAGAGGCGGCATCCCCGCGGTTCACCCTCTGGGGATCAAAGTTTTAAGGAAATTCAGCGGGTAGTTTTCACAGACATGAGTATTAGTAGTACATACTTTGGAGCACCGTGGACTGACAGCAGTGTGTCTTCCCTTATAGCCCCCTGAAGTCTCAGCTTCGAGTGGTGCTCGGCCAGCAGAATGTCAACGTCACTGGTCCCAACACCAGGACATTTGGAGTGCAGGAGTACATCTTTCCAAAACAGTTCTCAGTGTTTAATCCAACGCTACATGATATTGGTAAGCATTAAGTGGACACACACACACACACACACTAGTGACTCATGTAAACTAGAAGACCTCCTGTCCCCATTCAGAAAAACACAAACTCACTAAAGACCCCAGTCTGTGTGCACAGCTGTGTGTGCGTCACTGAGCAGCTGTGTCCCTGTGCTCCCCCGCACAAACACACACACACACACACACACTGGCTGCTGGGTGTGGTGTTTTCATTGGGCAACGGAGTCTCCGAGTCTACCACTCGTTTCATTGTTTTAACTGCTCTTTTTCGTCGTCTGTCGTCTGTGTTTGGCAGTCCTGATCAAACTGGCGAAGCAGGACGGGCGCTGTGTGAGGAGAACCCCGTTCATCAGACCCATCTGTCTCCCAGACAAAAGCATGACGTTCCCTGATGACTACTGCTGTGCTATTAGCGGCTGGGGACACATGCATGAGAGTGAGTGATGAGGGCATCATGGCCGTGTCATCATGATAACACCTATCTACATTCATACAATACATGACTTTCTTGTTTTAAACTGTCCGAGCAGAGCCAGTGTTGGTTTGCTCTTCAGCTTCACTTTGACAGAAGTTTTTTTCCCCCCAACTACCTGAAAACTCCAAATAATGGTAAACATTTAGTTTGTTGTTGAGGCCCTGTTCATACTAACATGTGATGCGTTATTCCTGCTTTTATTTTGACAGAGGCCGAGGGTTACTCTAGTCTGCAGGAGGCCGGAGTGAGGCTGATTCCTCACGAAGCTTGTCGGAAGCCAGATGTTTACGGCAACCATGTCACCCCTGACATGATTTGTGCGGGGCTCAGCGGCTGTGCCGACGCCTGCCAGGTAGGAAAACCATTCCGAGACGGTGATTATTAAATCCAAGGCCGCCAAGTTGATGGTTACGTCCTCACAATTCCTCATCGTCAATGTATGACGAACTACGAAGTGCTACCACTGGCACTGTCAGGAACATTTTTCTTTGCGTTTTTGCTTTAGCCGGTCTGTTTATTGTATCGAACCCAAGTTTCGCTCCGAGAAATGTCACGTTGCTTTTAATTCATCCGTCCACCCTGAAAGACATCGTTCCCTCCATCTATACTGAATGTGTCCAGACTGCTATTATGTTGTCCAACAGTGGAAGTCAGCTCATGCACCATGAATCACAGACTGGCATAATCTGCTTGCCAGGGGCGCAATATGATGGGGTATCCTTCTATCTGCTGGGCAGGATAGAAACGTATCATTTGAAATAGGAGAGATTTCTTCACTCCATTAATGGCCCTTAAAGACAAAGCCATGGCTTAGCTCCCTTCTAATGGGATGAAATGATACCCCCCCCACCCCCTTATTGCTCTGAACATTACAACTGATCATAAAGTGTTGTGGGCAACACAGACTCCCAGAGCCCACATAGTTGTTGACCTCCTCCCTTGGCTCTGTAAGGGTCGGTATCAGTAAGTTGACTCAAGGCATCGGAGTAATGGAACAACACTTCAGATTTCAGCAGGGATTCCCCTGAGTGAACAGCCAGAGAGGAAGTTAGCGAGGGTCTGTCTGCAGCTACTCAACCTGCCGTGTGTAATACATTGAAGTTCCTTTCCTCTTCAACTAAATGTCTCCGTTATCTGTTTACTTCTCGGGTAGAGGGCACTTCTTAGGAATGAATTAGGGTTGAAAGTGTGTGACTCAGCTGTTTAGAGTGACTCCGCTTTGATCCGAGCATGTATGTATATGAACTGTATATACTTTGTATTTCCCCAGGGCGACTCCGGGGGCCCGTTGGCTTGCGCGAGGGATGACGTGAGCTTCCTGTATGGGATCATCAGCTGGGGAGAGGGCTGCGGCCGCTCTGGAAAACCTGGTGTTTACACTAAAGTGGTGAACTATATCGATTGGATCAATTCTGTGATCACACGCAAACCCAAGGCTTCATGAATGAACATCAGCCGGACATTAGCTTTAATATATGAGACGTTGCACTATATTGTATTCTAACAGTTTTTTATTTGTCATGCTTGTGGAAGTTTATAGGTTGTCCTTTTTTTAACTGTGAAACATTGTGACTGAATAAACCTTTAATGACTTGATAAAGCTTTGAGTGTCAACTACTTCAGATCAAAGATGCAGATATGTGTAACCTTGATTTTATGGTTTAAATATATTAAATGTTTTGGCAGCGAGGTCATTATTATTTTCAACAGAGGATGTGGCCTTTTATAGGTATGGATATAAACTTCTGTGTACTACGTACTTACACATTTGAAGGGCCACTTCTATTTTGCGACCTGGTTCCCTTTCTGAAATAACATGTACACTCTACCGGCCACTTTATTAGGTACACCTCAGAACTGCCTTAATTCTTTCGTAGCAGAGATTCAACAAGGTGTTGGAAACATTCCTCACAGATTTTGGTCTGTATTGACATGATGGCATCATGCAGCTGCTGCAGATTTGTCGGCTGCACACCCATGATGTGAATCTCCCGTTCCACCACATCCCAAAGGTGCTCTATTGGATTGAGCTGTGGTGACATTGGAGTACAGTGAACTCATTGTCACGTTTGAGATGATTTGAGCTTTGTGACACGGTGCATTATCCTTCTGGAAGTAGGCATCAGAAGATGGGTACACGATGCTCAATTGGTACTAAGGGGCCCAAAGTGTGCCAAGAAAATATCCCCCAGACCATTACACCACCAGCACCAGCCTGAGCTGTTGATACAAGGCCGGATGGATCCACGCTTTCATGTTGTTTACGCCAAATTCTGACCCTACCATCTGAATGTCGCAGCTGAAATCGAGACTCATCAGCCTGTCTGGCACCAACAACCATGCCACGTCCAATCCCCTTTCTTCTCCTTTCTGATGCTCGGTTTGAACTTCAGTAAGTCGTCTCCACCAAGTCTAGATGCCTAAATGCTTGCTGCCATGTGATTGGCTGATTAGCTATTTGTGCAATTGAACAGGTGTGCCTAATAAAGTGGTCGGTATGAAAGGTGGTATTTGTGGCACCACCTGCTCCAGTAGCAGCAGCAGGTGGTGCAAACCAGCCCAGGTGGCAGCAGCACTGGTCATGCCCCCTTTTTTTTTTTTTTTTTTTTCCACGTGACCTGCTGGGGGCGAGTTTGCGGCCCACACACACACACACACACACACAGAGAGAGAGAGAGAGAGAGAGAGACTATTTTGAAAGTGACCCTCTCATTCAGGCAGCGACTGTGCAGCTGTCAGGAACCATGACTGAAGATGACGGATTCTGTTGTCGTGGAGGGATATGCCAGACTCCGAGATGGAAAAAAGGTGTTTAGCGTGTCAATATTTCTGCTGAAGTAGTGCAACGCACTTTCGTTAAAAAAAAACAAAAACAAAAAGTTTGTCGTGACTTTTGCTTTCCTCCACAGTGGAAAACTAGGTGGCTCGTTCTTCGCAAGCCGTCGCCTGTAGCAGGTAAAAAAAAACAAACAACCGTATTTATTTCCGGTTACTTTTGCACATTTCATCTTTGGTTTGTTACAAGTTTTGCGCAGAAGGGTAAACGCATGAATGCGCATGTTTGCTGCGCCACATTGGAGGAAGCTACACGTTTAAGTGATCAGCTGTTATCGTGCACGTGTTGTCCAGTTGCATGGACCCTCTCTGTGTTGACGAGGCCTGGTTTGTGTTCGCACAGTGTATCCACACGTCTGCTCTCTGGGCTCATATGAGGGTAAATAGATTTCAACCCTCTGCAAACGTGACGAAACTACACGAGAGAGTCGAGCTGTCGTGAAAGTTTTTGTGTTGAGAAAAGCAAGTTAAATGTGATGACAAACTCCCAAGTTTACTGAAATCTCTCAGGAAAAACAACTGTTATTGTGAAGATCTTAGTACAGATTCAAAGCAGAAGCTACAAGTTAATTATTTTTAAACAAGTCCATTTAAAGTGTAAATGTTTGCCCTGATTTTGACAGTAAAGGCCGGGTTAAACGTCCTTCACGTCATTTGAAATATGCATCAGTGTATTTATTAGTAAATTAGATTAAGTAATTCAACTTTTTCATGCTTTGTGCCTGTACTTCAATTTTTGTGTGTAACCTCACTGTTTGTGATTTGCGCACAGGTTTGTTGACATTCTGAATGTTTATTGTACTTTGTTGTTGTCGACACATTCACAGGCCTCAATTTGGCATGAAGCTTTTTTTCCCTCAGGCTTACAAACGACCACATATTTCCAAATGTATCTGAACATGATTCCTTACACTCAAAACCTTACTGACCCTCATTTGAGCTCATTCTCAACGTTGATCTGCTAAAGACTGAGCCCCCGCTGTATTTTTAGACGCACCATGAATGTGCTCTAAGTGAATTTGTACTTGTTGTTTTCTCACATTTACTGAGGAGAGTTTCAGCTTGCCTGAAGTTGAGTACGAGGTTGTCTTAAGCCAACCTTACCTCCGGCCTTTTTTGTATGTTACGCATAAGAAACGAGGCTTGAAAGTGGTGAAGTTGGCTGTGTTGCATTACTCAGAAAGGTTTCTTTGGATATCTGGCGCTGGACAGTTTAACATGCTCCACAGATTAGACTGAGGTGGAGCGCTGCTCCTCTTCAGATCTTTGATGTCACTGTTGTCACAGCTGTTTGCGCTCATGCCTCAGTTGTGTGGGTTGAGAGCTGTGTGTGTGTGTGTGTGTGTGTGTGTGTGTGTGTGTGTGTGTGTGTGTGTGTGTGTGTGTGTGTGTGTGTGTGTGTGTGAGTGAGATGCACACACACAGTCTTGTTTTGTCAGTTGACACTGGTTGTTTGAAGGTGCCAAAAGACTACAGGACACTACAACCGCTACTGTGTGTCAGAATATGTCGTATTAGTATTTGACGATGTAAATAATTATGGATTTTATGGATGGTGTTTCCAGGTATTTTCCGGAAACTGTTACATCTGAAATAATACAAACATATAATGCTAACTGCAGATTAAGTTCAGCCCCTTTCTTACACACGAGAGGTCTTATTTTGGTGTTTGTTGTGTCTCATACTTGCCCTCTGTCTCCTCCAGACTGCCTCGTGCTGCTGGTTTTTAAAGACAAGTCCGACAAAGCGCAGGGCAACAAGGAGAGGGCCAGCGTCACGTTGGAGGAGATCTGCGGCGTGGAAGCGGGACAGTGGTATGAAGGTGTGGCTTTTACTCTGGCCATCCTTTGCCTGAACCAGGCTGCTCTACTGGGCTTCGACAGCAAGGAGGCCCTGCAGGCGTGGGACGCCCGCCTACGGTACAGCCTCGGCGAAGGTGGGGGAGATCGGCCTGTGCTTTGGTTTCAGTGTTTAGTCCTTTTTCACTTCTGGTGAAAGGTGATTCATTTGGGTTTTTATAGAAATATACAACATTTGACCGCACTATACTGGAATCAAAGCAATTCTCAGCAAGCCGATTAGTTCATCCATCATGCTGGCAGGTTTCAGAGAAATTTACCCAGACATTTACTGCAGAACAAGAAAAGTACTCCGCAGCAAAGAAAAGAGCAGTTTTCATCATAAGTTAGTATATTTGCCTCATCAATGGTTCATCAATAGAAAGAGCCCAAGATCAACAAACAAACTGTTCTCAGCTGTAGCATTTTGGTAAAGCTGCACTTTCCTGACTGACATTTAAGCAAGGCAACAGCACGGTGCAAATTCATATTCTAAAGTAATGCCTAGCTGTCGCGACGACAGAAAGATGCATCGGCAAGCAATTATTAATCTGTGTTTATGCTTCTTTTGACTTTGCAAGGCGCAATTGGTTGCCGACGTATTTGGGGTGTTTTTATTGAGGTTATGGATGATTTTCTAAATTGCTGTTGGCCTTTTGAGAATTCTCTGATGGAAACAAAATGTAAAAAAAAAAAACACATTCTCATCTGTAGTTCAAATATCATAAGCTGTACTGTGAGATAAACACTTTTAATGAAGATGCAGGCTGGACAGAGTCCCACCACTAGGAGTAGTTGTGTTTTTCTACTTCTTTATAATTTAATGGATGAACTAAGATTTAAACTACAGGTAAACATTAACGCATAAAAGGTCACAGACCATCCCCGAATAACACTGACTATGTAGTCTTCTTGTCACATGCTTCATCTTCCCTTCCTGAAACGACTCAGTTTGCATCCTGATGAGTGCTAATGGTAATGCTCGTTTAGTAGATCACATTATGCAAACCTTTTATTGTCGTGGATGGACAAGTTGATCAAGAAGTAATTTAAAGGATGTCACTGATGCTGCAAGCCTCAGGCTTGTGTGGATCTATTGTATAAGTGATAAACAAATGGGCGCTAATTATAGCATTGGACTGTTCGGTGGCTGGAGTCCAGCTGAATTTGAAAGCAGTCACTAATGACAGTGTTATGGGACCTGACTGTGGCAGAGGACGAGGTGCTAAAGACGAATTGCATCGCAGTTGTTCCTTCCAGTCTGAAGCGCGCGCATGCAATAGAATATATGCTGGCTTTTACGGATGCACCTGTGTCCGTGTGTTCTGAGAGAGCCGGATAAAAGTGTGTGTTGTCCTTGAATGTGTGTGTGTGTGTGGAGTGAGTCCAGGCCTGCAGAAACAAATGTCACCTGCCAGGCCGTGTACTGAGGGGCCACAGCGCGCAGATCTTTTTGTGGTTTTGTGTGACACCGCATGAATCTCTCTTATTAACCTGTGTGGCGACGTGGCGCAGCTTGCTGACATTTCCTCATCATCGCCTCCATCAATGTCAACTGGCGAAGTTTCTTCTGCGCAGTAAAAGCCTCAGCTCCGCGTATGCGTTGGCTGAAGTCCCGTAAAGTCACAGGCAGACACACAAATGCAACGCTCATCGTTCTCATTTTACATCCAGTTTTTTTCATTAGTTTCTTATTAGCCACAGTACACAGACTCTGTCACACAGATGTTGATGATTGGCTGCATTGGGCTTTCGATCTGAGAGCAGTGTGTTTTCAGAGCTCAGCTCGCTGATCTCATTCTCCGTTTGCAGCTGTTTCTCCTTTTACTGTGAAATAAAGTCCGTGCTGAAGTCATCGTTTTCTAAGGACACTGTTTCTATCCCCTGTGAAGCCGAAATTCAACTATTTTCAACCTGCTGCCATTTTGAGAAATACACTTGGGCATATATTAGTATGCATGCATGGATATGTACATATGTGTCAAATTTATCAAAGCTCAAAGCTTCTCTTGCGATTTGTATGCTACAATGACCTTTGCTTTTGCATGGTTTGAACTGTACTGTTCATACCTGCACAGCTCATTACACCTCATTGAAGTTTTGAGATATCATTTTTTATTGTTTGACTAGTTCCTCTGTTTCCTTAGTTCATAGATTCAGTGTTGGAGTCTTACCAGGGACCAAGTTGGAGAGTGGACCTGCAACTCTTCATCTGTGCAACAACTTATTGGTTCTCGCCAGGGACGTCCCTCCTGTTATTATTGGCCACTGGAACCTTCCAGACCTGCGCAGATATGGGCCTGTACCCAATGGATTTGTGTTCGAGGGAGGATCAAGATGCGGTTATTGTAAGTTTTTGCTCTTAATGTTGTTGCTTTTATGCTACATTTGGATGTGTAAAAGGGTAAATTGGCCATTTAGCTATTATGTTGCTCCGTAAACTGGTATTTTTTTGGCAGATGGTTCTACAAGAAATCAAGATTATTGGCTCATGGGGCTAAAAGAGCACATTTGTGTTTGGGAGGCATGAGGGGAACTGAAGGAACTATAAACAGTTTTAATGATTGACAAAATGGGAGGCTTAGAAAACAGAACATCAACAGCAAAATGGACAGGAAAACGAATAAAATGCAAGGTTAAAATATCAAAATAAGGGAAAAAGAGCACAAAAAAATACGTCAGACCATCACGGTCTTCATCATGTCATGACAATAATGTCTAGAGTAACATTGGGTCACATCATCAGAGGCTAATGGCTCTAATGTATCCGAGCCCTGTCTTTCTCAGACAGACTTTATGAGATGAGTTCACTTCTCAGCTTGCTTGCTAAATAGTTTTCATGCACTCTTAATCTGGGCACATTGTGAAGGTGTTTCACCTGACTTGGGTCATTGGGAAACTGAGGCGTGGTCTCTGCTGTCGGCCAATCATAGCTGGTAGTTTGTTGGTTATTGTGACATTAGATATACTTCAAAGTCACACCCATTTGTAATCCAGTTTGCATAATTCCCCGCTACAAACAATTGTGTGCCAATTGATATTTTATTGCTCCACAATATCTTCAGCTTGCCAACATGTGGTTAACGACCACATGTGAGTGTAATGTTGATGCTCAATGCCAGAAAGTGGGCTGTTAATGGTAATTTGATTTACTTGGATGAGTAATAACAAGCATATGATGTAAATAGCAGTAAAAGATGTGTCACTTGTTCTCATTAGTGTTTTGACCTCTCTGACTCTGTGGATTGTGCGTTAGAAAAACAGCTGCTTCATGACAAGAAACTTGCGGGAGGAAATGATTCCGTATTAGTCTGTGCAGAATCACTCCTGCTGTGCCTAAAATTCGACATTGTGCATCACACCAGAGAAGCTGTTTTTGAGAATCAGGAGCCAGCCCCCCCCCCAAGCTCAGTTATGAAGCCATTAAAGCCGAGATGAGTGTATGTCAACACCTGGAGGGGACAGAGAGACACGAGGGGGACGCCAGAGACATCAGAGCATTACAGAAACACGATGACCCCGCCGGAAACGTGACACTTCAGTATGCGATGTTTGATTTATTTAGCTCCATTAAATCTTCAGCAGTGGTTAACAGGAAGACGGTCAGAAGAAACATACACAGAAAGACAGTTAAAAAACAAAGAAAAAAGGTAATGTGTGTAAACGTGAAGGTGTGTTTCAGTGTTAAAGGAGTGCGCATTCCTGTGACATGTAATCTCTCAGCACAGTTTATCCACAGCAGAGGGAGGGAGGAGCGGCGTAACGACGTTGAACCTCTCGCTTGTGGTTGAAGCTGTATTTATCCGACCTTTTGTCCTGTTGAGTTTATCCTCAACGGTTCTACTTTTTCAGTAGGAAATGCGAGCCAAGTAGCCAAAGTGTGCTGTAAAACACGTATCACTTGATGTGAGGGCTCAAATGAGTAGTAGAGACTAATTAAAACAAACAGCCTGCTGTAAGGACAATCAAAGAGGTAGGTCATTATCACCCAGCTCTTAAGTTTAGCTTCATGGTGATTTTTAACATTTAAAATAGTTTTTTTTAAGACGCATGAAATTGTTGCGTAGAAGATAAATCTGTTTTTATTTTGCGGGGAACAACTAGACAGTTAAATGTGTACATATATATATGAAGTTAATTTAAAGAACTCTGTTACTCTGTAATGACTCTGTGTTTTATCACTTTTTAGAGAAGAGACAGACCAGAAGGGTCCACTTCTGTTGTTTTTGTTACTGTACAGAATCTTTGTCGTAAACTAAATGAGTCCTGCCACCTGTCCTTTTTGTTATGTTGTTTTTTGTGTTCTAGCTTTTGGCACCTGCTGTTCAGTCACCTGCTATCAAAAGCATGACACGAGTAGATGTGGTTCCTCAAAAAAGAAACGATGTCATATTAAATCCAACCGAAGTAGTTTCTGTGCCAGACGAGAGTACGATGAAATTAATTACTTAAACTTAAATTAGATCCCTATCATCCACATCAGCAGGCAATGCATCTTCAATTTTGACTGGTGCAGACTTTACTGCTGACCTTTGACCCTGCTCACTGCAAGGGGAGTGTTGGGAATGTGATTGAGGGCTGGCTTGAGATGGGTGGTCTCGGGGACAGGGCGACACAACGACCCTTTTAATGGCGACACCTTGTAATGAACAGCCAGGTGTAATGTCAGAGGGAGGTCGAGAGACCTCTCGGTCGCACGGCCTTTAACCTTTGCGTTCCTATATCACCTTTGATGACATTCTAAATTGATCTGAAAGACAAACTGGGAGCATTGAAGAGGAAATACAAAAAAAAAAAAGAACAGCCATCTCAAATGGGACCAAGCAAATCTCGTGACATCGTTCTTATACTTAACTTAATAACGTGATACTAATACAGTCTGCTTTCTACAGGGGCCGGTGTTTTCTTGCTCGCATCTGCTGAGAGCGAGCAGATCAGCTTTCTATTCGACTGCATCGTCAGAGGCATCTCCCCCACCAGAAGCCCGTTTGGACTGCGGCCAGTTTTGCCAGGTCAGTACCAGATGTGTTTATTAAAGCTGCTTACCTGGAAAGGACTGGAAAAACCAACCTTTGTGCTACAGAGAGACAGAAAGATCAGTTGTAAGGACCATCATTTAAAGAAAGAAGGTGGATCTCTATGTGATGCTTATTTGGATCAATAATATCCTCGCTGTTGCCAAGGAGTATGAGAAAAAAAACCCAACTTAAGTCAACAATTTTAAGTTGTAGCAAACCGTGCATGGCTCCCCTTTTGTGCCTCCAGGGATTATCATAGCTGTTAGGTGTGCTGCCTTCCTAGAATCCAACCATTTTTGGCAGAATGACTCAGAGGATTCCTCCGTGGATGGATGTGACTAAACTTTGACTGACAGCTGGTTTTATGTAATTGGGTAATCTTTTGAAGCGATTTATAATTTTAGTCAAACGCCCTAACCCCTGACTTAAGTGTACTGTGGTGAACGTAAAGCTTAGGGTCACCTTAAACATCAGTAAGAGGATAGCTACTGTACTAACTGGTAATGGAAAGCAAATTGAATTGCAGTCTATGTATAGTTGAGGGTGTAGTGCTACCGGTGGGCATGCTGGAGAATGGGCCGAGTTCCAAATAGCTATTCGTTTTTTTTTTTATACTCATTACAGCAGTTTGCAAGGTTTTAATTTGACAAATATGTCAAGCACGAAGGGACATCACACATCTCCATTTGGGAATATTTGAAAACTAAAGTATAATAAGTTTTGGAAAGAGGTATTTGGGTGGAATATTTTAATACTTCCTGTGTAACAGTGAGGTTTGTCTGTATAATGAGCCCTGAGCTCCAGCATGTCCACTCTCAGCTCCTCTTCTCTCCTGTTCCTCTGCCACCCATCGTGAAAACCTGACAGTATCTGCTTTGCTGAAAAAAGTTTGTTTTTGTAAGATAACATTAGAATTGTTTATTTAATTTCAGTGCCGAAAGGGGAAAAGAAAATGAATCCCCAATCATTTTGATAGTCGATTATTGATAAGTAATTTCTCGAGCAAAAATGGCAAACTTTAGGGACTACTTGATGATCATAATGGAGCATTTAGGAGCTTTAGAGACAGATATTAACCTCGGCAGCTGGTGGAGACCAAAATGGAGCTAAAAGGAGAGTGATCGCTGGACTTCACCCGATGGCCAAATGAATGATTATCATCATATCTGCTGGATGTGTACATAAGCCGCTGCTGTAATGTAACGCTGACACATTAGCCATACATTTCTTTAGACAACGGTATGTTAATATTGTATGTACAGCTTGTCTCTATCCACCATATATTAAATAGAAATGGTCTCTGACACAAAGATTCATACACACTTTCATCCCTCCATCTTATCTTTGTGATTGCTCCTATTCCTGTTATTTTAATAACAACATTTGAATGCTCGGTCTAATATTATGAAAGCCGTTGAACATTATCTCCCCTGCTGTCTACTTCCAACACCTTCGATTTTCCACACTAGCAGTTTTAAAAGAAAATCTCTCACCCAGTGAACGACTTAACAGGACTGGGCAGCTGTGGGCGCTCGTGGATATTCTGGTTTTCACACATCCCGCCTCCCAATCACAGGTTGAGCTCATACTCCTATTATTGTGGTGCGTAGTAGAATAAATAGCAGGGACGATGTCTGAGGGGAGAGCGACGGGTCAAAGTCACAGTTCACACAAGCGGAGCAGCCAAAGCCTCCTAATCACTCCGGGCATGTATGTAACCTCATCCACAGGATTCCACTGCTGCCTCCCCCCCCCTTCATTTCATACTCAGTCGCCCACCGCTCCTCTCTCCCCTCGTCGCTCTGTAGCCCTTAATTGTGTCTCTCGTTCTCCCTTGTGGTTCACCTCTGTCCTTGTCTTTGTCTCTGTCCTACACTGCTCGTTCTCCGCCTCAGTTTTCATTAATCGCTGTTATGTTCCCAGGCTCACTCATCAGTTTGTCACTCTTGCGTGCTGTACTGTTTCCACCTCTCTCTGCCTTTCACTCGCCTGCTCTCTGTTTCGTCTCCATTATGCCCACGGGGAACACTATATGCTCGCATTACGACGGTTCAATCGAGGAAAAATTGCAAGTAATCAAGGTTCCCAGTGGATGACATTATCGGAAATGAAGATTATAATGGCTGCTTCAAGATGAAGTGGAAAATGTATGCGGTTTAGATTGTGTCAAGTCACAAATCTGTGATGTTGTGAATCTTAGCTGAGATGAGGTAGCCGCAAGAAATACAGCGTGTGATAGGCTGCGACACCTGTCAGTCAGAGAGATATGACCCCACTTCTTTCTGATCTGTGTGATGTTGAATCTCTAATATATGCTGTGGTGGAGGCAGTAAAATATGATTTTTCTATTTGGATGCAGGCATGACAACCGATGGGAAATATGTCGGTTTGGATCGTTTACGATGCTGCTGGTACACATTGAACACTTAAATTTACATCCGTACATTCCGTCCCTGAAACCACCAAGACACTAAAACTGTAGTCATTAAAAAACATTCTTTAATCTTTGTCATATTCAGATGAAAGTATGTCTTCATCTTGAGAAAAACATTTAGTTATGAGAGAACCATTATTTTAATGAGAACGTTCTGGCTAGGTTGTACACGTTTGAAGTGTGACCCTGGCTTTCTCTGTTTACAATTCCTACAAATGTGTCTTTGGATTGTTAAGCTGCATTGTTGCAGAGTTTATTCAGCAGGAAATCTGTGTCCTGATGTTTGTGTGACGTGCTTCTGGCTACACAATAGCAGGACAAAGAGCTTTAGTGTCTTAGTTAGAGAAGTTCAAAAGGAAGGAGAATAAATTCATAATCAACATATCACAGTAATTCATAAATTGTTTAAGTTGAATGTTAATTCAATTTATTTTTTTAAATTCCAAATTTGCCTCAGAGGGCTTTACAATCTGTACACATGCGACATCCTCTGTCCCGGGACCCTCACATCAGAACTCCCCAAAAAAAAAACTTTAACGGGGAGAAAAGAGGAAGAGACCTGTGGGAGAGCAACAGAGGAGGGATCCCTCTCCCAGGATGGACAGAAGTGTGATAGATGTCATGTGTACAGAATGAACAACATAGCAGAGTTACAACACATTCAATGCATATGACAGGACCACGGCAGGAGACCAGACCAGGGTCCAGGTATCACCAGGATCCACGGAAACCTGCGAGGCGAGAAAGCACAGTTAGTTCAGACATCGGAAATCCTGGCTCTAAATTTTTCCGTTTGGACCTTAAACCAACAAATTCTGACTGTAATATGACTTTAGTAGGGGGGCAAATACATTTCTTAAAAAGTGAATTATGATGTGCATCTTTGTGAACAGCAGTAGGATATGCAGTTGTTTTGTATATTTTTCCCACAGGATTTGAAAAGGAAAGATCAGCATGTAACTATATGAGACAAGGGACCCCAGTGGCTCACTAAAGTCATCTTAAAGCAGCTGTATACTACATTCCTCATGTAGGAAGTGAGCTTAACCATACACACAGTTCTGGTCCATTTACCACATTACCGCTGTAGGCTTGGGGGGAAAAAAATCGATCCAGCGTTAAGAGTTGACCTTCCAAGGTCCATAAGATCCTTGAACGGCACCGACGATCTTTAGCCGCACAGCGCCTGCCAACGGAGCCACGTGGCGACGCTATTAATAAACCCTGTAGTGTTACACAAAGTGTTCCCCTGTGTGATCCTTTTCTGTGCTTGTGCAAAGTTTGATAGTACACAACACTCCTGCCCAAGTGCTTGTTAATTACACATTCGTGGCTGGCGTTTTATTTTCCTGACGCCGCAGCATTTCGTGAGAGAGGCTCTTGTGGTTTGAAGGGTCCCTTCTCGTTTCTCCTGGAGTTGTTGGATAAGTTTTCACAGCTGTGCCTGTGTCACCGCACTGCAGAGTCCTCAGCTGCGTCACATTTGATCCCATGTCTCGGTGACTTCCTGTGTCGTCATTAGTTTGTTTGATGAATACATTCTAAGTCTGTGTGCGTGTGTCTATATATCTATATAATTAAGTAGAGCCATTGTGGGTTATTCTTGGCGTGCTCTCTCTAACAGACCCCAGTGCCAGTCAGACGAATTCGGAGGAGAGGTTGAACCACGAGGCCCAGGAGCTGGAGAAACGACTGAGCATGCTCTCTCACAGGAGCAGCACAGGTACAGCTGGTCACTGTTATGCTGTGCGGAGATTCAAAGTGGAAAACCGGTGAAACTGCCGTGAAAAGTTTGGCGATTTTACAAATCTCGCTGCTCTGAATGTGTGTCTTTCGTTATACAATCATCCCAAAGCACCCATAATCATTGTTTAACTGCAGTGATCCCTCTCACCCACCAGAGAGAATAAAAGATACATTGGCTTTTAATGATGCTGCAGTTAGATTTAAATTAAGTTTAAATCCCAGGTGATTTATTGTTCCTATTATGTGGTGAATACCGGGGAGAAAAACAAGGCATAATGGTATTATGCTGCTTTAAAAATGCTTTGTTGCTGTAAGAAAAGTTTTAGTTAAAGCTATTGATTATATTAATTGAAATTGCATTAATGTTGTCTTTCTTGGCAGTCTCGTCCTCATTCTGCCCGTCTGCTGGGGGAGACGACCGCAGCATATCTGGCTCCTCAGACACGTCCGACACCAGCCAATCGGACTGCAGTATTGGCAGCCGAATGGCCGTTTGGACTGAGCCGGCCTCCAACCCATCCGACGGCATCGGCAATGTGGGAGCTAAAGCGGCTTTACAGAGCATCGAGAAGCTTTCCGTCAACCAGGGAGGTGGAAACCGGCTTGTTGCCAAACCCCCCCGGCAGCTCCAGGAGATCGGCCGTCAGAGCTCGTCTGACAGCGGCATCGCCACCGGCAGCCATTCCTCTTACTCTGGAAGTTTCTCCTCCTATACAGGCAGCCTGGATATCACCACCGGGGAGGACTTTGGGTCAGTGTTCAGCTTGCCTCCCCACTTGGCTCAAGACCTGAGCCCTTGTATTTGCGCCACTGTCCCTGGACATGAATACCAAGTACCAACATCACTTAGGTATCTCTATGACAGCCCCAAAAGTCTGTTACAGGAGGGAAGTGGGGATGGTAAATACAATGAACCCTCCGCCTCAACAAAGGACAGTCCTGCCTCTTTAGGCCTCACAGACTCTGCACAGGAGGATAAAAGCAGCGCCGCGACCTCCGACGGGCACTCAGAAACTACTGAAAGACCGTCAATGAGTGAACACTTACAAATCCCCTCAGAGGAGAGAAAGAAAGCTCTCTGCAGCTCTCTCACATCTGTCTCCAAAACCCTTTTGACTATCTGCTTAGTTTGTGGTGGATTTAAGGTAAGTAGAAAAATATCTTTCTGGCAGTTTGTTGTTTTATCCTTTTGCAAGAAACACACTTGGGTTAAGCTCAGATATAAGTGTCATCGGCCATCTGTTTACCTAAACATTTGCATCCCCCTGTGTTCACCTGAAGATGCTGTGTTGCGACTTCTTGTCATGCAGTAGCAGCTCGTGTGAGCTGGCCTTATCATCACTGTATCATCTGCTCTGTAGCTCGCTGTCAATATGACCTTTGCGGTATGCAGGCGGACGGTGAAGCCGCTCTGCGTTTGGTGTCAAAACAGTCACATTGTCCATCTGTCTCACAAGTTGTCATTGTATGCAGGATATTCAAACCTCGTGACCGACTTGCAGTTTTTCTCTTTTTACACCTCTACCTCCGAATTATTGCTTCACTTAATGCTGTCGAGCTAAAGCGAGAATTACAAACTGAATGTCATACAAATTTGTTCATGACATTCATACTGATGATGACAAACAAAAAAAAAAATAATCTTTTCGGAAAAACGTCCCGATATGATCAATGAGGTTCAGCTGTCTGTTAGGAAGTGATAGTGTTTTGATGGTTTGGCGATCATAGAGTTGGTGGTGGTTTCTTCTTCAGACTTTGATTCATCTGTGCTTCAGGCCTGCAGCTAAAGATTATTTTCATTATCGATCAATAGGGTAATCATAATCGCCCTAAAATGACAGAAATTACTTAAAAAGTACTCATGGTTTCCTCTTCTTATCGGTGATGATTTTCCGTAGAAACCTACAGTATGTTGTCAAATATCTTCTTGCAATCTTGAGTTTGAACTTCAGTAAAATTTGTCATTTGAACACCCAGGTGCAAACTCACTAAAAGCACTCTTGCTCTGGTGTGTCCATGTCAGTTGTATGTCATGTTTATCGAATATTCTAAACGAATAGCTCCACCTACTGGTAGTGCATTTAGTTAAGAAAGCCAAATTGCATTTGATTACCTGAACAAAATGTTCTCTCTTTGTTTCCTTTCAGTCAAGTCCCCAGCGAACTACATTAAATAAGAGAGTTATTGAGCAGTGTGGGAGGTTATTTATCACACTCAGCCTGAGCAACACAATCCAGCCCTGTAGTGTTCATTGGCTCACAGTTAAAGGGCCAGTTCAGAAGAAAACAAGAAGCCCATCTAGCCAAAGCCTGATGCATCTCATGGGATCCTTTTAACATGCCTCTTAATTAAACAGGCGTAGAGCTTGTTGTTGCTTACTCTTCTATTTAAACCACTTTGCCTTAAAATAATTTATTTTGTATTAATTTTCTCTTTCATCTCACAGGGCACCCCGTGCATCCCTGCAAGTGGCTCGGCGATACCTGCCATACCAGGTAAGTGTGATCAGTTGAAATATTGTGTGCACGCTGCATGCATTGGATCTTGCATGCATGAACAGAGTTGATGCATGTTAGAGGGAAAAAAAAAACGTTCGTAATATGCTGGAGCAGCCAGAGCTTGCTGTTTGATTTGGGACAGAAATCAAAGTGTGTTGAAGGTTTCTCTTTGCCTCCAGAACATCACATTTTCAATCCAGCAGATGAAAGTGTTGACAAATCATCACGCAGACCCTGCACCGCCAGTAAATACTATATTGCAGTGAGGAACGTTCTGGAGAAACCCTGTGCCTCGCCTGGGTCTGGAAACAGCCACAGCTTAGAGAAGCCAACAGTGAGGAGAAGGGAGGGTTCACCGCTGCCAAAGAAAGGAAGAGAGAAATTAGCTAATCTCCTAGCTGATCTGCTAGGCTTTCCAAATGCAGACAGGCAGCTTGAGGCAAAGACTAACAGACTGAACCTTTATGAGTCAATGAGCCCTAGTTTTGGAAATGAGCTCAAATCTGCACCAACTGGCACCCGTGTACCATTTCAAGACTCAGAGCAAGACAAAAGAGCTGCCATTTATGAAAACTGTTTAAAGTGTCGAGGGGAGCACTGCCACCCTCCTCCACCTGCCGGAATGAACCGCAACAGGAACGTTTCCCCTTCGCGAACCTTTCCGACCGGGCTGCACCTAAAGAAAAGCCGAGAACATGAAGCGGCCGTTCACGAGGAACCGCTCGATCGAGCTCCCGGTGATGGATCTCGGAGTGTGGTCGCGCAGTGTCGGTACGAAGAGATGAATGGTCCAACAGTGACCGGTGAAGGTAAGAGGCCTCTTCTCCAGTTTCCTCTTCCAACTCTCAACAAAGCTTCCACGATTCCTTTGGTGTCCTTTTTCCTCTGCAGACCTTTGAAGTGGATCTTCTCTTTGTTTCCGTTCTGTTCTTGTCGTCATCAATAATAAAATAAAGAGACTTCTTCTCCTTCTGGCTTCTTTTGTTTAATCAACTGCTTCTTTTTCTCTCTGCACTCTGTGACGTTTCCTTTTGTTGTGTTGCATGTACAACCGAGTTTGCGGGCTTTGAAAAGTAGATGAGACTGATGATGTTATTGCATGAATTATGAAATCATAAATTATGTATCGTCTCTACGAGCGACTGCAGCCTCCAACATAATCATATAGTTGAATTTACACCACCAGGGATGCTATTTCCCCATGTGTAATGGTTGTTATTGTGAGATGATGAATCGATCCACTGTTATTTGTTCCCACCACTGGCTCTGGAGGAATTCATGCATTTAAACCAAAGGGCACCGTGTCACAAAATGGATTAAAACAATGTGGGATAATGACTATGCCTTGGCTAGTGGCACAAGACGTTGCAGTTTAATTTGTAATATTTGAAACGCCCTATGTTTTTCTCTCCCACCAGACAAAAGGCTTAAAAGTAAAGAGGAAAGACGCAGAGCTGATTATGAGATCATGGAGAGTCGGGCGCCGGAGAGAAACTCAGAGGTAGGCCCTTTTTAAAACCCTAATCTGCTTTATGCCACAACTGCTGACACATTCTGACTGCAACTCATTGTGCTCTGAGCTCAGCTAAACATTTTGGGGCAAACGTCTGATATCAAGGGAAATACCAAGGGAATAATAGGCTTAAGAACTATCTGAACTTGAACATGAATGAATGTGTAGTTTTGAACTCCTTGTCCAGTTAGCTATCCCACATGTGGATAGGAACAAGCAGTTTGAGAAAGTCTCCATCGATGAGCTGAAAGCAGACCATTAACTGTACTTAACGTGTGCAGTCTCATGCATACTCTTTGCTTTGGACTTACAGGTGGGTTTGTGATGACACGCGTTGTTTTGAGAGGCGTTCGTTCAGCCAGAAGAAGACAAGTCAAGCAGCGATAGAGTAGGGTTGGATGATAAGACCTCAGAAGTACACTCGGTTGTCTAGAGAGGTGTTGACGGTCATATCGGAGGCTGTTGGGGTTATAACTCTCATTAAAGTAGGATTTATTGCACAGCTTTGCATTAGACTAGTGAATCTACATGATCGACATCAATCTCCTCATCTAACATGTGGGTAGAAATTAAATGAGTGTATTTCGCAAAATATTGACCTTATTGTGAGGAATACAGATAATATAATAATGCCAGCGTTGCATCACAAGCCTAGATGCTGTTGAATGTGAACAGATTAATTTAACAGCTGGACAGTCCTGATAAGAAATGTGAATATTCAAAGACAAGACGAGAAGTTGTCAATTAAAGTAACAATGTACAGTAATCAGCCCATTTCATCCCCTTTATGTACATTCTCGGTGTGAAGATGGCCCCATCAGGGAATCCCCCTTTGTGTGAAAAGTGTCCTCTCAATGACGATGAAAGCAATAAGGCTGCACTCCGCCACCAATTTTCACACCACAGTAGCTGTGCTTACAGTGTCTGTCTAGATTTAAAAGGCGCGGTCATCCATCCACAACGATGCACCATCGCAGACAGTCTTTCAACATGGACGTCTTAGCCTTGAGCTCTCAGTAAACCCTGAATTTGGCCCTCTCTCCTGACGTGTCCACCGAGCTTGTTGACGACAAAGTCATCGCCACACTTCTTATGTAATAATACGTTTATAAATATAGTCGCTTACTGCAAATGCAAAATCAACAGTGCGCGCTGTCTGTGTGTCCAGCAGGCAGAAGAAAAAAGCAAGTATGAGCTGATGGGCAGCTGTGGTCAGCAGAGGTTCCTTCAAGAGACTCAAGGTGAGTGAGACAGACATCGAGTAATAAAACATAATCGGGTTGTTTTTCTCAACCAGGCCAGTTAAATTATGCACATTGCTGGTTGTGGCAATGGACAGTCTGAACGTTCCCCAGGCTTCTTGCGATAACCAGGAGTCGCTTACAAAAAGTGAATTAAATTCATGACTCATGCACTTCAATGAACAAAGCTATAAGCACGTCACCCGTTTCTTGGTGCGCATGAATAAATAAATAAATAAATAAAATGAGGCTCATTCAGTGTCTGAAATGGTGGACTGGCACGAGGCATCGCATCCCCAAGGGTGACGTTAGGAACAGACACGTTCTCCACTCGCATGATGTTTACTCGACTCTATTCAGGGTAATGGACTGTGACAGACAGGAAGTTGTTTTCACAAAGCACATACTGTACAAAGCACATACTGTACAAAGCACATACTGTACAAAGCACATACTGTACAAAGCACATACTGTACAAAGCACATACTATACAAAGCACATACTGTACAGTGCTGCATACAGACTCATACCATGCTGAGCCAGATGCACGAACTCTTCATAAATTCAAACTTAGCCAAGTATTATGGAAGTGGACATCCACACATCACTAAATTAAAGCAGATTTCCCGTACAAACTATACTTTACATAGAGATGTAGTAGTTTCTAAATACTTACACCCAGTAAATGCCATGTGTCGCTGTTGCGGAGTTAACTAACAAACTAACTCGCCAACATAAAGAAAGGAAAACGGACTATTAGGTCAGGGGCTCGAGTGACAAACTGAAGCAGACAAAACCGGGGAATCAGTTTAAATTGTGTTTTAATTTAGGTGATATCAGATGAATCTCATATGAGCCCATGAAATTTGAGTCGCTATTAATATAATTTGGAATAAAGTACCCAATTCAGCAACCTCTCTTTTCCATTTGTGTAGTCGAGGGCTCACTTCAGCGCGAACATTCATTTGCCCATCTGCATTTTATGTAACGCCATTAACTCGAGTTACATAAGAACCAATTGTGTCGAGAGAAAACACACAAGATGTCCAAACAAACGGAGAGCGTGGTGATGTGTGACAGGGATACCTGCCCTGGTGGTGAGCTGTGAGATGGACAGCTGTCAGGGGACCTTAAGCGTCCCACACTGAGAAACATGCCCTCAGTCTAAAGCACACCTGCTCTAGGAAGTCCCAGCAGCTGTCACAATGTGGCACCAAACCCATCAGTCATGTTCATGTACCTACAAACACACGGCTCGGCTCCCATGTCGTCTTTCCCCGTCCACCTGCCTCAGCGAGTAGCTAATGGACGGGGACGTGCAGGAGGCGGCCGAGTCCAGTGGCTCAGGTTTACTTGAGGATGCAGATTTCCATGTGATGTTGTAGTAGTTCGGTAACGGTGCAGTTAGCAGCTACTACTGCTGATGTTACGTTGATGTATTTGAGACATCGATTCAGGTTATTCTTTTCTTCAAGCTTTAAGAATTTTGGTTGGACATGTCCCTCTGGCATTACTATTCGTGAGGCCACTGTACAAAAAAAAAAGCTATTTTTGCTGGATCGTTGTATGTCTCTTTGACATAGTTTATGACCAAGATTTTATTGGACAATTTTCCACAAAACTGTACGAGATCAGTTTTGAGGTTTGTCCGATTTTTCAATGAATCCCTTGTAAGGTTATAGTGTTTGGCTTTTGTTCAGACCTTTTTAGGGAGGTGTTGGTTCAACGTCATGGTAATGTTTTCCCCTTCCCATTTCTATATATCTATCTATCTATCTATCTATCTATATCATAGGCTAAGTAACAAACACCAGTATGTATGCGATTTGATGAGTAAAGTTTCTGGACTTGAATGCGAGACATATATCTCTGCGTTTGTATTTTGAGCAAAGTCATTACTCCTTTGGGTTTTCACCTCTACCTCAATGTCTGTCCGCTAGAATAACATGTAAAAGGTGGGAAACCAGCTTGAACAGGCCGCTTACCCTGAAGACACAGCTGTCATTAAACCTGTCATGTTTCCCCTCAAAAGCGGTTGACTTTGTGAATTCTGGTCACTAAGCTCAGCCAGGTCGTCCCTCCGGAGCAAAGTACATTATGGAAAAAGTCCCTCAGCCTCATAGCTGCGGGCAAAACCCACTGTTGCGACGGCAGCCATTATAAAACACGAGGCTTCTGCGAGGGCTGCTTGGGGTCCGATCAATCGGGGATCGGACCTCTTAGACGTTGCCGAAGGCTGCACCCACCGAGACTCCGCTGGCGTCTGATGGCCTCTCACTGATAGTACGAGTGTCCCCTGGGGTTGAGTTGCTGCCTGTTGCCGTTCAGAGGGAGTCAAAGTAGGTGTCCCCAAATGTCACATATTACCCAGCCTCTGAGCACAATCTATAGAGCTGTATTACACGATTGTGTTAAAGTGTAATTACAACACAGCTGTAGTAATGCAGATACATATGAATCCATGACACTGAAACTGTTTTTTGCAGCATCTCATACTTGCCGGTGCATGTATATTAACTGGTAGAGGGTGTATAATAACTATAATCTCCTAGAGATAGCCTCATTAGTAAGTGCTCCCAGCTGAACTGTTTTGTCGTTGTACTCCTGCTGCTGTTGGGATTATCCTACACACACACAAAGCAACTGTAATTAAACCATCAGCTTTTTGTGATCTAGATATTGTCTTTGTCCTTCAAACATCAGCAGACTTGCAGTAACTTAATGTTTATTTTGCTGCACTATACATGGTGTCTGTTTTGTTATGATGTGACTGCGTTCAAGAGAAGAAAACCGATTAATCGATGATGCAAAGTGTTCCACACTGGCCCTATAATTTGTTTTTGACAGTGCAGTCGGCAGAACAAAAGGTGTTTCTTGTCAAAGCTAACAAGAAATCCTGCCTCAACCCATTTCAGCTGAATAGCTTTTACCATTTAATCAGTTGCATAGATTCTTGAAGCGTTTGCCATTTTACTTGTAGCGCTGCTCGTGTTCAGGTTGCCGTTAAAAACGCTTATTTTTTTAGTACATTTGTCTTAAGACCAATTGTTTAAATGCATAAAGCTTTTTAACACTGGTTTACTCATTTCAAATAGAAAATCTGCCAGGGATTTGTACCTCTGTTGGTGGTGCGAATATTGGAAAAATGTATCTGTTTATATGGATTGTGTTATTTGTGGTGTTTTTGTGAAAATATGTTTAAAGTAAGGGAATTTTTTTTCATGTGAGATTAGGCTGCACGTTTTGTTTTGTGGCTCCTACTGTTTGGTTTGCATTTAAAAAAAAAAAACATGTAAAAACAAAGCTTTGTGTCAGTAAAAACTAAGTTTTCACATATTTATGGAATTGGATATGTAGCACTGATGGTGGATTTAAAAGAGCAATAAGTTATGGTTTCACAGCCTCATAATATAAAATGACCCTAATGCATCTCATAAGTTATCCCTAGGGCCTAACCAATTATGCATTATTAGCCTCTGGGGGGAAAAAGCGATTCGGTGGGTTACAATGTGTGCCAGTGTAGCTGCTGATCCCAGATCTGCTGCTGTGCCTTACTGTTCAAAAGACTATAGTGACTTTAATGCGGATGTCTATATTTAAATGAGTCTAATTAACATTAGGCTGTTGATAAGGACTGTTTCCTCAAGACTTCCCAACCATGGAGGGGGAAAATCTTCTAGCATTTGATGAAGGTCACAATAACAAAGCCAGATCATTATCCTTTAATTAAGGTTATAATAAAACGAAAAAGTAACAAAACTCCTCCTCAGCTCAATTAACACTCTTGTATTGACAGGGGCAGCGTTCGTTTCCCCCGCAGAGGCACCGCTCCCCGAAAGGACTCGCAGTGAAGGTGTGACGTATGTGAATATTCCTGTTAGTCCCACATCCAAGAAGCAGCTCAACTACATGGAGCTGGAGCTACAGGAGCCAGGTCCTGGTCCCCGAGGGACTGCCGCACATCTCCCGCTTCAGAGTAAGGCATGCATAACCTTTTGATAAGTAAAAGTGCTGGTATACAAACAGCAGCCATGTTGAACAGTCAGGGGAGGCCAACTCCACCTGTGGAGAAAAATCGACTGTTACTGTCGGGCAACAAGACCGATCAGATAACTATGTGTCACTGCTTCTTGTATTAAGAGGTTTAGATTTCTCAAAGTTAGATATTAAGTATTGTCTGTCGGAAATATTGTTTTAGTATCAGTACGAGAACCTAGGTGTTGTAGGCGCACGTATAGAACATGTTCAGCCCTAGAGGGTAGTTATTGTATTTATCCGCTTTTTGCTGATATTGCGTCACATTCTATATACTTCAGCACATACACAACTCCTTTGCTATTATTCGACATATATTAAATCATGCTTTTAATGCACTGTTCCACTGTATATTAATCTGTGCACTCACGAGCACTGCCCAAATGGACATCGTCGTCATTGTAATCTGGACAATTATGAATGCCCTTTAACGCATATTCAGATACCCTTCAGAAAATCATGACATATTCACGAGAATATCTAATGAGGGTATTTCATGCAAATGTTTGAATTTAAAAGAAACTCCACATTCTGAATTGATTAAACCTTATGTTCACACAGCATACAAGGCGTTATTTGTGCTCATGTTTCTGATCCGTGCAGCTTTATTAAAAGGAAATATTTAAAAAGATGTTCAAATCCTGCAGACTGATATGAAAGAGCCAACTTAAAACAAAACCAGGATATCAAAGCCAAGAGGATGAATAGTCGCACTCGATACACGATTAGTCTTTAATTCTATTTCACGTCGTCAGAGTTACAGGAATCGCTCCCCAAACGATTCATTGGATTTCCTTTCATCTCACTAAAAGACAGCTGAGTCCTTGTCATCAGAGCTGTGATTGACAGACAAGTCGGCTATCGGCATCATTGCCCTCAGGAATACAAGGACCGCTCGGGCTCCGTCACGAGAGAGAGGTTAATATCTAGTGTCATCAATACAGTTTATGTCCCGGCATGCGGCCTCAATCTGTCACCCGGGAGACGGGGCGTCCCATCTCGCCACTGAAAGGGGGGGGTCACAGGGCATTCAGATCACAGCTGTGAATTCACCGGCTCAAATGGGATCCTCCTCCAGGGGACTATTGATGTTGTTAGAGCTGGTTGTGAGTTGCTCAATCTTATGTAAAACACATCGCTCTAGCAGGAGACCGCACATGACGGTGATATTCATGCAAATGCGCGGCGATTTCTGATTTTTAAAATTACCATAATTATGCGTGAAAATCAAATAAGCAAGATGTCGGGGGCTAATCGCAAGTGACGTGAATATGGAGGACTGTGCATGAGGGGAATGTTAAAGGCTTCAGCTGAATCGTTGCCATTTTCTTCTGCTTTGTGTGGGCGACACTCAAGTCACATACCAGAAGCAATCATGTTGGCAGCAAGGGGCAGAGATCCACTTAGCTCTGAACTCTCTGTTGTCGTGTTTGTTTGGATGTTTTCAGCAGTTCTCGGAATTGGATTTTTTTTTTTTTAAGCTGATTCAGCAATGCTTTTTTCTGCATCCTACAAGAAGAATGGGCTTTACATAAAGGGTTAGAATTTGCTGCAACTGATTATGTTTTGCTCCAATACCCTAAGATGTTCTGTTTCCTTATTCTGTCTTTGAATGTTTTAATTATGTTAAAAAAAAGCAAATCTAATTTAAAGGCTTTCAAAGTCTACTGTTTGTTATGATGCATCTGCCTAATGTTACACACCCTTTGGTTGTACTTGTGGGACTCGGAGACTCAGTTTGTATCTGCAGATCTGGGAGTCCCAGCAAAAGCAGCTAGCTTTCTCGCAGCAGGCCAAATGACAAAATATTAACTCCAGTGTTGAATATCAAAATATTAGACCTTTTTTAACTTGAAGTAACTCATAGAATGTCTGTTTTTGTGTCTCGACAGGAAAGAGCTCCACCAAGTACGCGCAGATCGACATCACCGCTACAGAGACGGCCCACAAAGTCGGCACGCTGCACGCCCTGGGACGACAGGAGGGCCTGCACACTCTGGAGCTGAGGAGAAAGGGGATGCCACATTGATTTCTTCATCACTGAACTGTTCTTCTCAGCAGCTTGGTTTTTTTTTTGCCCAGGAACCGTCTCTCTAAGAAGGTTCTCAGTTGAGACCGTTCTAAAAGATCCTCTGCTGCAGGTTGCACCAACTGGTCTTTACTGAGCCTGGTCCTAACTGCCAAGTCTGTCTTTATTAAGACCAGCCTTTAGAATGGACTGGACTGGACGGGACTATTTGCGGCAATGCTATTCTAGAGGATTGGAGAAAAGGAAATCTCATGGACATTGAGATGCAACAGTTAATAGAGCTGTAACAGTTAAACATCTTAGTCATTCTGTATTGAAACTAAACGATCAGGCATAAATCACACCACTGTATCTTATTGTCCACACACAAGTATAAGCCAACTCAAATATATCAAACTCCGAAGGCCCGACTGTCTTCATCGGTTGTAGAAAACCAGGATGTCATCAAACAGCAGAACAGAGTGTCAACAGTTCTCAGTAATATATTCTAATACTGTGCGTATATCATTTAGTTTAGGCTACATAGCCTATTGTTTGTGTTTGAAATTGCTTCATTGAACGACTCTCTGTGCGTCAGAGTGGCCACACACACTCCATCTTCGCCAGTCACCTCACCCAGCACATCTTCACCACCTTCCTCAAATATAGCAGTAAGTTTCACCATATTTAAAGGAATAATTAATGAGCTCCTGACTAGGTGTAAGATTTACACCCGGTCTTAGCAAGGAGGAGGCTTAAGCCTAGACTAGACTAACCATTAGATCAAGCTTAGAAAACCAAGTTATGACCAAATTGGCTTAAGACCAGAAGTAACCACTGTTGGTACAACCGGCCCACGATGGAGGAATTTGTTCTCTCTTCTCGTCATGGAAGTTACTTCGCCCAGTCTACACATATAGTCTCTACACAACCCTTTACCAGTTCTCTTAGATTCAGACTTGCCTCTGTAATCACAACACAACTTGAAGATGGAGCAACGTTTCAATCTGGGTCTTCTTAGCGGACTCAGGCATCTCATTAAATGGCATTATTTCAGAGCCTCAGGCTAACTTGGAGGAAGATGTGCGAGTTGTGAGCTGAGTCATCGGCCCCAATAACTCCCCACAGCTCTTCCGGGCAATCCCCAATAACACGCAGTATGCTGTTTTTTTTTCCTTGTTTGGGAGAACGAGATGAAGCAGAGATCGTGTTTATTCTCTCAAGGAGTTCATAGTCATTTTCTCAGTGACATTAGTAATTCCACATGTAGTTGCACAAAATACACTTTTTTTTGTATATTTAGGAAAATATTTCATCCAGTCTTCAGAATGAAAATGTCAGACTGTTAAAACAATGTAAGTAAATACAGGATAGTCAATGCTGCATAATACTTCCACCTGATGCATTGTGACGTTTTGCGCGGGTGTAAAGAGTGGATTGTGGTTTATGACGAACATAATCTCTATATTAATAATGCAAAGCAGAGAGGATGTCGATGGTGAATGGATCTTCTTAATCTCACTGTAACAAATCTATCCCAGATTTCACTGCCTGGCACTCACGGCCATCATTTTTTCAAAATTATGTGTTTTTGAAGTTTTTTTTACTCACTGATGTGGTTACATGCTTTTTATCATCAGTCCTAAGTGTGTGTGTGTGTGTGTGCACATAATAACTTTTAGTTTCAATAAAAATGCTGGAGTGTTTTGAACAGCTACTTTAGTCAATGTATTGTTTTAGTCTCATACTCTACTAGCGTTATGCTTTATTTTAATATCTGTAAATACATTTTCTTTCCATTTAGATGATCTGGATTGTTATAAAATATACATGTAAAGACTTTATGGATGTACAGAAATTATGTATGGGAAGAGTTCAAGTAATGCCATTTTTCTTGTAAATTATTTATAACTACTGCTTTGATGTGAATGTTCAGTTTTTCTAGAGCTACACTAGATCATATATGGGACTTTTCCCCCATATACACTTGTTAACATTATATGAAGCATTTTTTGATTATTTTCATTCAGCACTACTAGCATTTGAATGAGTATGAAGGTACTTGGCGCTGACCACATTTTAGCAACATTTTGAACCTTGGAATAATTATTGATTTTTGTATTGTTAGTAAATTATTATGAAATTGAAGGTGATTTACTTAGAAAAGCTAACACAAATTGATTACATTTGCTGTTAAATTATGCATTATAAAACTTAAGTGAAAAATAATAAATGTATTGAATTTGCTAATAATTCAAGTCATCAGTTTTATTTATATTCATACAGCCCAGTATCACAAATCACCTCCCAGTCTGTCTTTACATGATTGAATTATTCTTTGGACTTTTAGAAAGAACCATTAAATAAATGTAAACTGCATTTCAATTTGACTTGTTTTCCTTTTAGTTACGTGCCCGTCTGCTGTTAAACAACCTTTGGTGGCCACGTTAAACATCTAAAGGGATTGGAGAGTATAACATATAAATAAGTCATATTATAGTACGTCGAAAAAAGTCATAGTATATCAAAAAGAGTCATAGAAAAGTCATGGTCTAGCATGTCGAAAAAGGTAATTACATTAGTCATTTTGCAGATGCTTTTATCCAAAGCGACTTACAATTCAGATTCTATCACACCGCAATTTGGACACAAGGACACATCGACATGCGAAAAAAGTCATAAAAAAAGTCAGTATAGCATGTCGACCCTCAATTTCATGAGAGATCATCTCAGCTGTAACATCATTTGCTGCCTGAAATAGAAAAACAAATACAAACTCAGTCACCAAAACTTTGAGAAGCCCTTGTTAACAGCATATGTGCCAAGGTTGCAGTGGTTGCGTGGACGGTGTTGATAAGGGACCGGTGCTGGCAAGCAGAGACTCACTTTGTATCTTCAGTCAAAGCGTCTTTGTGGGCAAGGATCTTGAAGTGTGAAAGCTTTGGAAGAGAAACACACTGCACATTATTTTCACTGACAGTGTGCTAGGATCAGGCTGTAACAGGTCCAAATTAAAAGCTTTCACACAGAGGTGCTATTAATAGGGATTGTTCCTGTTCCAAATTTTTTTACAAGATGGCGATGTATGGTCTGCCAGCTCTCGGAGCAACACGACTCGCATTGACTTGTCACACGGTCACTCGCACTACAGAAAGCCACGACACTGACCTGGAACGAAAACCATACAGGTCAGCAAAACGTGTCTTAGAAACTCATTAAATATATCCAGGGAGAGCAGAAGAATAAAGCATAGTTGGCAGTCTCTGCGGTTCAATATTGATCTAAATAAATTAATGTTAATGCCATCAAGAAACCGGTGGCAGTAGTTAAATGAACTATGCAAATCCACAGACAGTCTGTGTGTAACTGCTGTGCCTGTTTTGATGTAAGAAAGGGCAGTTTAGCTCATGTGGGTGGAGATCTATTCTCTCCCACTGTGCCCATCAACACCACAGGTCTAATTCAGGACCACCGTCTGTCTACCAGAACTTGACTTGACTTGAGTCAGACTTAATTATACTTAAGACTTTATCTGGTAAAAACCCAGAACATGTGGACGGCCACATGCATTAAGTCTATTGAGACTAAATGTGAGACTGGCTTTGATGTCACTTGAAACTTGACTTAAGACACAAGTCTGCAGATTTGATTTAAGACTCACTCTCAAGTATTGAGACTTGTTTGGCATCTTGCTTTGAATGGAAATTTGCTTTGGCAAAACTTGGACTAAATGTCCCTACTGACTTGCCATCTTGCCATCCTCTAAAATACTTAAAAAACAGCTCTGCTATCTACATTGAGAGTCTATCAGGGAATGTGCTGGACAGGAAGCATATCAACTCTACCTTATAACAGAACCATTATATAACTGTACGAGCCACTGTGTTCAGATTCGGGTACATTGGGTTCAAAGAACAAAGGCTGTAGATGTAGAACTTCTAAAGTTTCGGGGTCATTCAGTTCAGTTCTTTGTACTTCAATTATCTGAAACCTCCTGTACCCCCCCCCCCCCCCCCACGCCTCTTAGAAATCTACATCTACTGAATAAGTAATCGGTGCTTGCCAATCAAACTGTCTGATTTGCTTCATCAATCTTATACTTGCATGTCAGAAAACAAATTCAAGCAACTCAATCTTTCAGTATTTATGCAAGGGACGGGACGGACCCCCCCCCCCCCCGTGCTTTTTGGTACTTCATCACTGATCCCACTGCTCCTTTCATAGGACTCAGAAGAAATATAGACTAAATTATGCAGGAGCCAAGAGAAAGGTTTATTTTCAAGCCACAGCACTTTAAGGCCTGACAGGAAATTCCTGCCACAAAGTGCATTAATAATTCCCCAAGAACATTGAATACATTATCGTTTGTTCAGCCCTCAGTGTGCAGCATCTGATGTCCAATTTTGACCAGAACCATTTACTGCACTGCAGAAGTAACCCTGTCTCTTATTTACATGTCATGAAGACACAAAATAAAGTTTCTACGGGATGAGGGGGGGGGGGGTATACAGCTTTCCACCTCTGCATCATGTGCTGTGTTGCCCAAGGAGGTAAATGTAATTCATCCAACGTGTAATCACAAAACCATTATTTTCCAACCGACTAAGGATCTTTTAATTGTCCTCGTCGTCCTCACCCCATGATATTGTTAGTCGTGCCACTCCATTCCTTAAGTGTCAATCAATCCTCATTCTGTGTAGCGCACAGTAATACATCATATTACTGCAGCACGTTCTTCAGGTGGTGTCTGGCAGAGCAGCAGAGAGCATAGCGAACACAGAATTAGTCATTTGTAGGGTAAATGTCTTGCCTAAAGATACACTATACTGATATAGTGAATTTCAGACCAGACTGTGTATACTACAGTATGTTCATATTAATCTTAATATCATTCACAAAGGCCAGACTGGGTCGTGACTGGTTTCACAAAGTAGTTGTTCTCAGATTTGAAACAGCTCACTAGTACGTAACGTCACAAGTGTTGAGCCCGGCTTCACTAAGTGTCGGTCTCTTAACTCGCGCACTGATGCTTGAACCTACAACCTCACGGCTTCTAAGTAAATGTTATGCTTCCACAAATAGCCGCCGATCTGGTTTATCTGTCGGAAGTGATTTGTTGCAAATGGTCAAAGCCTGCAGGGTTTAGTAGCATTTCCAAAAGACAACCCAATAAACTCTAGCCGCTGACCTTTTTGCTCTAGTCATTGGCCTTGTTCAGCCCAACTCAATTACGACCCCTAATGTCTCACACAAACACACAAAGAGCCTCTTGCAGTCAGTGCCCAGAAGGCATCTCAAGATGAAAAGCCTTAATCTTGTTTTTTTTAATTCTCCTTTATGAAGCTTTTATTTTCTTTGGATTGCAGCTGTTTGTCCGCCTGATGCTTTGCTGTCTTTGTGTCTTTCTTTCACTTTCAAATGTGCTCATATGTTGATAATAATGTGCTAATAGTTGGTGGTTTAAGGACAGATAAGGATACAAAGATCATCTTTATCTCCACATGAACTCACTACCCCTCATTTTGTCCGCACAGACACGCAAATTATGGAAACATTTGTAGAAAGTGGGGTTTCTGGGTGCTAAATGCTCTGTGTTGGTCCAGATAACACCACAACATAAAGGACACTTGGATGTGATCAGCGAAGCCAACAAAACTCACTCTCTCATTTCTCAGTCTCTCGTTATCGGTTAAGCTGCTCACGGCTGCGCTCCTAATCTGTCATTATGATTCACTCACTGATAGCTTCAGGAGAAGAAGATCATGGCGCCAAATATTGATTGAGCTGAGGCGGGAAATATATTTGAGCTTTCAAAATTCGTCACAAGAGTTAAGTGAAATCGACCAACAGCTTCTACATTCTAGTGTGTAAAACATTGGGGAATATCTTAGTAAAAGTGCTCAGTTTCTGACCTCCCTCTTTCTCTGTGACACATCAAATGAGTGAGTCGCTGCTGTAGTAGGCCCTGTTTGGGTGTGAGTTACGTAATGCACCAAATGGGGTCCGTTTTTTCCTCTTTCTTTTATCCGTTAGCAGTTAACAACAACCAATGTCCAGCCAAACACAAACACTTCAGCTTGATAATTGGATGCTGACTGTTACTGAGAGGAGGAAAACAACAGAAACTGTAGTGGCTCAGAGAACAAGTGCAGCGACAATGATCTACTTAGTGACGACATTACCTCGGCAATCGGCACTAAAGCTCAGCTTTTTTTTCTTCTCCTTTGTCTTGTGTGTGTAGCATCTTTTGATTTCCATTTGTGCTTTGTTCAGACAAAAAGGAGCGCTGATGGATAAACATAATGGTCCTGCTTCTTTTACCTGTTTGTACTTTACCATTACCTTATTTTACCCAACATCACTGAAACCTCTCCTTAGCTGTTCTCATCTTGATTTTATCCTCAACTAACTTTACCGTCTGCGTTTCGCAGGATCAAAGAGATGAATGAGAACAGTTGCTTCAAAATGCAGAACAGTTATCACAGCGAGGGGCCGTGTGACACAGCGTGACTCAACTCAACATGGTGGAAATCATTTTTGAAATGACTTGCTGATTTTTGGAAAATAAGTTTTCCAAAGGGATGTGAGGTGGAGTCGGCAGACAAATCGTAAAAGGGCTGATAATTGTGAGCTGCATCTGATTCCTTGTTTATTTTTCAGCCCTGTGGCTTTGCTATACAGTATGTCCTGATTGCCATTTCTTGGGATGATCTTTATATTTCCCTTGCTTCCCCTCATTAGAATAAACATGTCAAGATGTCTTGATACAGAAATCAGCAGTTATACAGGAAAAACTTGGACTTTGTAGACCATGTGTCAATGTACTTTTAAGTGCTGAAAAATTAACATGATAACGATGTTATGATCGCATGAATTCCCATTTATCACATCGGACGTGACTCATGGTGCCCCGAGATGCGCTTAATGCACATGACGTATTCGGGGCATGTGGCACTTAGCGCCCCCTAAAGCAGAACCCTGACATCCTGAAATGTCATCTGTGTCATCATCCATGGATGTGATGAGGTGAGAGAGGGTGGGATACAGCATCAATAGACAGGACCGGAGCAGAGGCCTTGGTGCTGTGTTACATTAAATCTGACACATACTGACCCGCACAGGAAAACGCACTATTATCTTTCTGTCCAGGGAGACTGGGTCGACTTTCACAAACTTTCTGTTGTTCTATGGTTGAAATAGTTTTGGTATTATATTCTTCCTGTTCTGCTTCATAGCCCCAGCATATAAACTTTCACTTTGCATGGCTGATTATCTCCCAGTATCGTTGCAGAGTTGTCAAAGATAGCTATATAATCTGTGCCACTCTCGAGTGTAGAGTTCAATGTGGTTTAAAGTTGAGAAAAGAAATCTGCTACCTTTG